TTCACGCTTCTGGTATAGAGGGTTAACCAGTGCAGTCTTCACGCTTCTGGTATAGAGGGTTAACCAGTGCAGCCTCGACCTCTACTGGTATAGAGGGTTAACCAGTGCAGCCTTGACCGCTTCTGGTATAGAGGGTTAACCAGTGCAGCCTTGACCGCTTCTGGTATAGAGGGTTAACCAGTGCAGTCTTCACGCTTCTGGTATAGAGGGTTAACCAGTGCAGTCTTCACGCTTCTGGTATAGAGGGTTAACCAGTGCAGCCTCGACCTCTACTGGTATAGAGGGTTAACCAGTGCAGCCTTGACCGCTTCTGGTATAGAGGGTTAACCAGTGCAGCCTTGACCGCTTCTGGTATAGAGGGTTAACCAGTGCAGCCTTGACCGCTTCTGGTATAGAGGGTTAACCAGTGCAGCCTTGACCGCTTCTGGTATAGAGGGTTAACCAGTGCAGCCTTGACCGCTTCTGGTAACGCCTGCACTGGTGTTAACGATGATATATTATCATTGTGATGTCCTGAAGTAAACTCTGTAAACATGATCATTCAGTGCTATGTCACAGTGAACGATTTGGGACACCCTTTGTCTAAATGAACATTTAATTCCAAAGGCTAATTATTGCCGTTATAAACATGATAAATAACTTACAAGATCAACTGTTAGACCTATTGTATTGTATATTGACTGTCAGCCATCCTGAACGAGATGTGCAACTATGTCACTGATTAATTACTGTTGTTAATATTTATGACTAAATCCATGTCAGGTGACCTTGGCTATAAGCCATCCAGAGATATAAGAGAGGGAGAGAAGGTCGCACCTTCAGCCTAGCTAGGTTAGGTTAGGTTAGGTGCTCCGGGGCACCAAGACAACAACCGCCCCACCATGAGCTGACCTGGCACATAGTGCTTCTTGTGTATATATATCTACCTGTATAAAGTAAACTTGTCTATACCGCAAATTGACTTGAAGTTATCACTTCCAACAGAGTGAATGAGTGAGTGAATATTGCTTAACGCCGCATCAGCAATTTTGCAGCTATTCGCGGCGAGTCACTTCCAACAGAGAACTGTATGCCAACGCCAACATTTAGGAATAGGCAGATAATCATTAATCAAGTCACATCAATGTGCTGTCAGCTACATCAGGGATGACCATTGCAGCTGTACATTATAATTCTAAACATCATGGTGGCAATCACTAGCTTCCATTCCCATACCAGCAGTAGAAATTGGCACTAGTCCTATAGTCTTTGCCAAACTGCCAATAGTTAAGGCATCCAAAGCACAAGTAGAAATTTACCCTTTTTAGGGTTTTGCTATACATCATTATAAGGACTAGTGGACTAAACCTGTTAGTTTCTATCGCCGCATACAATGATATGAAAGCTTACATTTCCATACAATGATACATGTATGTCATATTAATGCTGACAAGCATGCATGTCTGTACAAGGTGGCGGTACATCAAACGTGAATGCTTGCCGTAAAAGGTGACTATGCTTGTCGTAAGAGGCAACTAACGGGATTGGTGGTCAGGCTTACTGACTTGGTTGATGCATGTCATCGTATCCCAATTGCGTGGATCGATGTTGATGATGTCAATTACTGGATTGTCTGGTCCAGACTTGATTATTTACAGACCACCGTCATATAGCTGGAATATTGCTAAGTGCGGCGTTAAACAACAAACAAGGACAAAGGATTACATGCTCAGGACTAAGGGCTACAGGTATTTGAGTAGCTACTTGCCTGTTATCATTCACATTGGTATTTCATCATTTCTTCCAATTTGGGATATCATGATATCAGTAGTATCATCAGTCCGTATCGTGATTCGAATCGTATCACAAGATACCAGGTGATACTCAGCTCTACTATTGGGTTTCATAAACCAATGACAGAACCATTATAAAACATTATTCTGCTTGATACTGTTTCAGGTGACTTTGAATTTGTATCTGTCGATGTGATGCCCCAATATGTCACACATGAAATCTACCTGGATTACGTCATTAAGGGGGCACTCCGGCATCTACCTGGCGGTCTAACACGGCCAGGTAGGGCTCACCAGCTGCCGCAACTGAGCGGCATCTGTTGATGAGATGCCCCAGCAAAATATGCCTAAGTTATTATAAGCCAGATGAAGCACTTTTTCGCATTATTCACTGCAGTAGAGTCCATGTATATATGATGCCACACATGGCATAAGCTCATACCAGCAATACATGTCTAAGTTATTATTTACAAGCCAGATGCAGCACTTTTTTGCATTATTCAGAGTCCATGTATGTGTGGTGCCTGAAGTCAATCAGTTAAAAAAGTTCTGTAGACATACAGGTTCGCAAGCTGAAATGTCTACGCTCAGCGTTAGAAATTGGCACTAGTCCTATAGTCCTTGCCAAACTGCCAAATAGTAAAGGTATCCTAAGGACTAGTAGAAATTGGCCCATTTTAAGGGGTTTGCTATATGTTATCATTATAAGGAGTAGTGGACAAAAACTGTTAGTTTCTAACCCTGTACACTGAGTGATTCATCTTCCCGAGGCAAGAGAGTTAACTGACTATAAAAGTCCAGTTTTCACCCTTGCTGAACTAGGCTGGAATTCCGGAGTTACATTTTGGATGGACTAACGAGTCCAATCAAAATCGTGCACCGAAATCGAAATCCGGTTTGTAAACTGTCGTGCAGATTTCGGTTGATTGCAGGATTTGCAAAGCATGTGCACCGCCAACTCGTTGTCAAAATATATTTTCCAAATCTTTTCATGTTTTTAATCAAGGTGCTCACATAATTTGATTCGCGATGTAAGACCCGTTTTATCACAATATAGATCTTGATTATCAATCAGAGCATCCTGACTGGGCGCCACCATTTTGGGTGAAGCAAACGCAAGTGATACAAGAGGTGGAATCTGATTGGTCCATAGGAGAGGCTTAGAGGGAACATAACTGGTAATAGCCACTGGTGGCACTTCGATCAAGCCCAGTAATTCCAGCCTAGTTCGGCAAGGGTGGAAACTGGACTTTTAAAGTCAGTTAACTCTCTTGCCTCGGGAAGATGTGGGTAATTATGTACAATGTGGAACTATTTTTATAATTTTTTTCATACAAGCGACTCAAAGTAAATTCGGTTATGATGATTAATTTTTTGTATTTTATGCAAATACAACTTACATTTATTTCTGTTTACCCTTGGATGGTCAAATGACCATATTTTGTCAATTCAATTGTGATAATGTCTCGCCAAGCGAGACGAGTCAATCAGGCAACATTTTGTTTCCATCACGAGATTACAAGCCCCTCCATTACAGTCAAGTTAAAAATAGAATCTAAGATGCACCACATGATCAGTCACATGACATTTACTGACAGGAAGTTTACAAACAGCAGCCAATACATGATCAATGGATACGATCGTTAAAGAAACATGAATATCATGAAAATAGTCGTCACATGAGCTATCTCAACTGATCAATGAGACTTGACACCTATGCAAAACACCTGAAACAAACGTCCATCATCAGTAGAGAAACAAACACGAGTCTCAATATCCCGAAACCCTATATATATTTTAAATAGTTTGATTGTTACAAAGACATGTGACATCGAAAAGTTTCTTTGTTAAAAAGTTCAAAAGGGCTTAAAACATCAAAGCAGACAAATTATGCCACAGACATAGAAGCCAAAAAATATAGGAAAGTACATTGACTTTCATTTTCTTTTAATCCCATCATTTTCAGTCACTGGGTGATGACAGTATAAATCAAAATGTTTGGAATTCGTTATCATGAAAAACTAAATGGTCAGATTTTTCAGTCAATTTGTAAAATAACTGAAAATTTAGGCATTTCATAAATTGCCAAAGTGAAAATATCAGTAATTTTACACACTGACTGTAACATAAACACACAATAAGATAAGGAACAATCAGGTGAATTATCTAATTTGTGTTACAAGTCAAAATAGTGAAAATGACAATCGCACCATACCAAGCATGTGACTTATTAAAACTTTGTCACCATTACTGATGCTACCCCCTAAGATACTGTACCTACATTACCTTTTATTTTCAAGACAAAACTATATTTCATTTTGATGATCAATGTGACAATATGCCCTTATACTATCAATAAAATAGACAAATGCGCTTACGGTTGGCGCAGCACAGGTCACGAACGAGTAAAGATTTCTGGGATATAATCCGTGTATCCACAGGAAAACAACAATAACAAAGGCAACAACAAGTCCCGGTGAATTGTCAGAGATCAGTGCCCCTTTAAGTGTGTGGTTACGTATTCTTTAGGGGCTTGAAAAGAGTCTCAAAAACATGTCACATGGGGATACTTCATACAATGATACATTCTATATTTGAAGAATACCATCCTTTAAGGGTTGACTTTGAAGTCCTGCTAATGTGTTAGTCCTTTGGGTGTTCATTATTCAATACATGCAGGTACATGATGACACGGTTGAAACATGCCAATAAGTCGTGTCAAAAATCAATTGTAACAACATGGAGATTGTTGGAATATGTAAAATTTCGGGAATTCTAATAAAAGGTACTTTGTTTTGTATTCAATGAAAAGGTAGGCCTATATAAAATATGAATTATAACAACAATCGTTTCGAAGGGAGCACAAATTAGCACATATGTACCTTCAAATACGTCAAAGTTATTAACAACCTGTTACACTGACTCATAGCAAAGCTATTGATCGAGATAGTGCGAGATCTGCTATATAGTACAACATACTGAATAAATGTCATTTAATATACATACGCCGTACATTCTAAACAGACGTGCCAAAATTACAATACAACGGTCAATAGGCCTATAGGTTATCAACACAGGTTGCAAATCATACCATCGACAGCTACCTGAGCTAACTACGGTCAAAGTCATCCAAAACATATTTATAATCTGAAAAAAATATCCAGCAAGTGTCAAGCGTAAATATCATAAAAAATTATCAACTTTTCTGCATATGAGTTGTTAACTTACAAACAGGTTCCACTATTCCCAAGACGAAGATAGGCGGACCCCAAAACATGCGTCTAACTGCTGACTGTCGCTCAGCACAGGTGTCTATAAAATTACCAACCAAAACAAACAACGAAAATTGTTTTCTATCACACAAAACAATCATATAACTTTGAATAGATGCACCGAATAAACATGTGTGTTATGTATTTATGCCTTGTTTTACCAAAATAATTAACAATGGGAGATATATAATAATTCCTGGTAAAAATCATTGAGTCTTTTTCATAGGAATCACACATAAGTGACACCGGCCACATACGATGCAATTCACGTTTCGTATGTAAAAATATCAATATATTGGATGTAAAACTATTTTATGTATTTACAGACAGTTCTAAATTTAAATTCTACCGATATCTTATCTTTAATTATCATGTGTGCTTTTGATAGAGTTTTATATTATTCTCATATGTTTTAAATAAACAGCCTAGCTCTGCATTGACATGTCTGTGTGTCGCTTCGGAGGATCCTGAAGTTTCGCGAAGATCGTGATCGTTTCATTTCTTCTCATAGGAATTCTTAAAAATACGGTATTTGTAGTGATAGGTTCTTGTTATAGCCATGATTAAGTTATTCTCACTAAAACAACAAAAGAAAGATGGTGAAAGTACCACAGCAGAAAGAGGGAAGAAAGCGTCCGCTGCGCAACTGAGAATTCAGAAAGGTTTGTGGTGCACCTATAAATAGATTTTTGGTCACAAGTTCTGAGAAAAGAACTTGTATTGTTTTACGATATACATTTAGGGAAAATCGGGATGAAGTAATTCATAATAATGAAATGGAAACAACTCAAGAACCTGTTCAGTAAACATTTTGAACATGAAATAATTTGACATGACAAGGAGGCAGACTAAACGTTTTACAATGAACATGATGAACTGGTACTAGTCAGTCTAGTGATAGGAATGGCCTTTTGAATTTTACTCGTGTTTAGTGGAGTATACCCTTTATCCTTCCAAACAGGTAGTACTTTTATTTTTTAAGGACATTTGGAACTATGTCTACCAATGCCTTGAAGTAGAGACCAATCTCAGTTTCAGCCCAGATTGGGCTAGTTGAGCGAGATGAAGAAATAAACAGTGTATGGTGTGCACAAGGATGTTTATGATCATGATGATTATTTTGGGAAACGACACGCATCAATAATACTTCATTTCAGTGAAACATGGACCCTGTGTTGTAAACCCTCCACTAGGAGACATAGTGAGTGAGAGAGTTGGGTTTGAACAGTATTCCAGTTAAATCACGTCATGACAGCATGATGTGGAAGGATGATGTGATGCAGATCTTAACGTTTACTACTTAGGGGAAATCCACAAGCACAGGTATGGTGCTGACATACCTAGAAACATAATCAGGGCGAAGAAGGATTCATGTTCAACCCACAATCATTGTTTTCTGGCATGCCCAAGGGTCGCAATTCTGCACAACAAATTGTAGCCCCTTAGACGACTGGACCACCTGTGCCCCTAATAATGGCAGAGAGTACTCATACTGTACAGTTGCATTTGACTGTGAGACATACACTGTTGGAGCACCTTTAGAATTGAGTACCACCCACATCTTCTCATGAGGACCATCTCTGCCATAATTACATGTCACTGAGACAAGCAACCCTTTTTTCTGAGGATCTGTCCGACTCCAACACGCGACAATTGGAGGAGCACCTTCAGAATTCAGTGCCACACCTTCTCATGAGGACCATCTCTGCCATAGGTCACATGTCACATAGGGAAGCAGCCATTTTTTCTGAGAATCTGTGTGCATTGATATATGCAGTTGGAATACCATGACATGCATCAACCAAGTCAGTGAACCTGCTCACCCAATCCCGTCGCCTCTTACAACAAGCGGAGTCGTTGTGGTTGTCTTGAGGCAAGCTTGGGTTGCTGAAGACCTATTCTCAACCCGGATTTTCCTGGGTTTGATCACCTACAGAGGTTTTCGAGTAGGCATGTTGTCTCGTAATTTCACTTACTAAGGTTGTGAGTAGGCATGGTGTCTCATGACTTCACCTTCTTAGGTTGCAAGTAGGCAGTGTGGCTCATGACTTCACCTACTTAGGTTGCAAGTATGCATTGTGTCTCATGACTTCACCTTCTTAGGTTGCAAGAAGGCATCGTGTCTCATGACTTCACCTTCTTAGGTTGCAAGTAGGCATTGTGTCTCATCACTTCACCTTCTTAGGTTGCAAGAAGGCATTGTGTCTCATCACTTCACCTTAGGTTGCAAGAAGGCATTGTGTCTCATCACTTCACCTTCTTAGGTTGCAAGTAGGCATTGTGTCTCATGACTTCATGAGAGAGAGAGAGAGGAGATCTGGGATTACGGGTCACAGTCACAAAAGAACAATCTTTTCATCCAGAGTGTCGCTTACCAGATCAGGAATGTGACAGTGAGAATGTGTTTTCTGGTCACGCAACTTCGAAAAGGTTAACAAGGGGCATTACAAATAACAGCTACAGGCTGTACGATTTGAATCTGTCAGAGTCATCGTCTGTCTCTTGCTTCAATGGGAAAAGCATTTTGAACGGAAGAGACTTTGCATAGCTCATGGGAAGCTGCCAATACAATCTCGGCCATCTATTAGACATTGCAGGATTTCTTTTGTTCAGTTTTTTAATTGAGAACTTTACTAAAATATTTTTCAAAGCATAGTCTGGAATGGAAGTCACCAGTTTGAAACAAGTCCTGTAAAACTTGAAAAATCTGTTTTCTTATTGGCTATGTCAACTTCTTGTTAGCCATTGGTCGGTCAAAGTTTGCAAAGGGTCGTTCTGATGTGTACTGTCATCTCAGATCTTTGTTAAGTAGTAGCAAGAGCTGAGATCTGATTTCAATGAGAATGGAAACATAGGTACACTCGATAGGCAACCCTGTGTCTACACTGTCTAGGCTGATGTCACTAGGACCTATTTTTCCACTGTATCTTGCAACACAATTTCACAAATTACATCAGGGTTTTGGGTTTAAAATGTTTGTAGTCCTGAATTCTAAAGGTAGGCCACACTATTAAAAGCTGTTACCTGTGTAGTGCTGGTTGTCATGGTTATTCCCCTGAATAAATGTATGGACCATCATCATAGTCATGATAATCAGTTCTCAAATTGATTATTGCTTGACTGTGGTCCTGCTTATTCTCTAACCCCCAAGACATACAATGATATTTTACGCATACAAAGATAAATCAGTGGCAAGAATAGTGTCCAACATGTCCAACACCAATTACATTATATGTTTTCATAATTTCACTTGCTTAGGGTTAATGAGAGTTCCTTTATTTTCATGTATTCTTCTGTTTCAGATATCAATGAACTAAATCTGCCCAAGACTTGTCAAGTGGACTTCCCTGATCCAGATGATCTACTCAGCTTCAAACTCATCATTTCCCCAGACGAAGTAACATTTTACATTCGATCATCCCATTACCTGTATCCAATGCTTGTGGGCGGTGGGGTAGCCTAGTGGTTAATGCATTCTGCTTGTCAAGCCAAAGACCCGGTGTACCAGGCTAAACCTTCCCCTGACCAGTTCTTTCCCGAGGAAGTTTGGCCAAGGTCACTTCTTCCCTGGGTATGAAATAGCCTAGGCTAAACCCTCCCTGGTTAAGGAATATTCAAGGCCAGTTCTTCCCCAACCCCGACCAGCTCTTTCCCCCTCAAATGTTAAGCTTACCTTTTGGTGAGGATGGGTCAGCCTAGGCCAGATCCTCCCACTCTGGATTTCATATATACTGAACATAAGTGGGGGATTCTTTAGTCTAGGCTAAAATATATACCTGGGGACCTTCTGCAGAACCAGAACTTATAGATTTTCATATTGAGATGCCAGATATCATATTTGGCATCATATCGCACAATATACAAAATATTGGTTTTCCTGAAGAAGTCCATAAGGCCTTGAAAAACTCTTTCCACATGTCAGTACATGTTTGAAGGCCTGGGGAGGTATGGCCACAGTGTATAAGAACTGGGCAAGGTTGAGATACAACTTGCCAAGGATGACTTCAAGAAAGGGAAGACCTGGCCCAGACTGAACCTTCCCCACCTTTCAATTCGAGGAGGGAAGGTCTGGCCAGGGATGGGGAAGACCTGGCCAGGGATGGGGAAGAATTGGCCAGGGGATGTTTCGGGCTGTTACACCGCGTTCGATTCCCCGCATGAGTACAATGTGTGAAGCCCAATGCAGGTGTCGCCGGCTGGAATATTGCTAATAGTGGCATAAAGACCATACACACTCAGTCACCCTATGCTTGTAGTTGGAACTGACTGAACTGGGGGACTGAAGTTGCCCTCTATGTACATTGTGTGTCATTTCAATCAACTTGTATGGATCATTGCTTTCAACTATCGTTTTCCGGTCAACATGTTACATTGTTTGACATGTTGCGGGCAACAATTTAAAACATTCATATTCCAATGTTTAGTGACTTACTTCACTCAAAGATTGTGCTCATTCATTTACAGGTACATTTTGGGCAGCTACAATGGGGAGTTACATAACTGACACATATCTTGTACTTTACACATATTTTCTTTCCCTTCAAGATCATCAAAACCATTATCCACTCCTTTTGACTTCAGATGGCTCCACAATATATGTAGACTGCCTCCGTGGTCTAGTGGTAGAGTGTCCGCCCGGAGAGCGGAAGGTCCAGAGTTCGATCCCCAGCCGCGTCATACCAAAAGACGTTAAAAGATGGTACTTGTTGTTACCCTGTCTAGAGCTCGGCATTAAGGGGCTAAAACAAGGACTGGTCGGCTCGGAGTCAGTATACTGTGTCTGAGTGGGGTATTCATGTTAAACTGCGGCATGGTATCTCAGTGTGCTAGCACTATAAATCGGCATCAGTCTGGACTAGTACTAGTACAAGCAGCCACACACACACATACATGTGCATGCATGTCGCTATATAAGTGCAATAATCTTGGACGCGACGTTAAACCCCATTTCACCTCACGTCACAATATATGTAATTCAAATAAATAATTTCAAGACGACACACTGGGGGTGACTATTGGTCTGGAAATCACTAATGCGATAACTATTGATATTGAAAGATACTATGGCAATAACTATTGATATTGCAAGCAACTATTGCGATAAGTATCGATAGTTTCAGTGTATCATTTTAGATGGATTTTAGAGTTGAATTAAACCTTGGACATGAAGTTTCCTTTGAAAATGTTAACCATAACAATAAATAGAAAGTAAAGTTTGAGATATGACTCATTTGTTTTTTCTTTACCCAAATAATAAAAGAAAAAGAAACTTCCACATTACCATGTGTAAATTACTACCACTCATGAAAAAAAAAATCAAATTTGAACAGCATTGCATGTATTTTATTGAAACTGTGAAAAATACAATCGAAACTATCGATATTCCTAAGTGAAATCGATACTATTGATCAGAACCTGTTTTAACAATTTATTGACTTTAAGTGCTGACCAATAGCAATATATTGATGTTTCGATTTATCATGACACCCTTACCGTTTATAATTCAACTTAATTGAAGTGATGTAATCTGTCATGTTTGTACCTATTGTTTTGTTTGCTTCATATGTTGAGAGATTGTAAATCCGAGGAATCAGTATGGGTTTTTTAATACTGGTCATTGAGATGGTGACGTTGTGTTATGTTTTTCAGGGTTTTTACCGAGGTGGCAAGTTTATATTCAGCTTTAAAGTAGGGCCCGGCTATCCTCATGATCCTCCGAAGGTGAAGTGTGAGACCATGGTGTACCACCCCAACATAGACCTCGAGGGGAACGTCTGTCTCAACATTCTCAGGTAACAACACTTTAGTAAACCATCAACTGCCTTGCCACTTTCCAGTGAGTTTTTTGCCTGGCTGGACTGCCTCCATGGTCTAAAGTCAGAGCATCGCCAGGAGAGCGGAAGGTCGGTGGTTTGAGCATCAGTCGCATCTTACCAAGAGACATTTAAAGATGGTACCTCTTGTTACCCAGCCTGCCATTCGGTATTAAGGGGGAAAACTCACAAATAAGCAACGCAATTTGTTTTCCTAAAACACTTACCTTAAAGCATATGTTAATATATTTTCGTCTTCTTATCAGGTTGAAACTATCAAGAGGGTGTGGTTTTTGTGTGTTGCACAATTTATTATACAAGTTCTTGTATTTGAAGGCAAGAAGTGTTTAAGGAGGTGAATCATGTTGCATTTTGTCATAAGTTTATTAATTGCAATGTGGATTTGGATCAGAGATCTATTGGGAAGACACTATGGTTGGTTTGTTGTTTTACGCCGCACTCAGCAATATTCCAGCTATATGACGGCGGTCTGTAAATAATCGAGTCTGGACAAGACAGTCGAGTGATTAATATCATGAGCATCGATCCACTCAATTGGGATCGATGACATGCATCAACCAAGTCAGCGAGCCTGACCACCTGATCCTGTTAGTCGCCTTTTACGACAAGCATAGTCGCCTTTTATGGCAAGCATGGGTTGCTGAAGACCTATTCTACCCCGGATCTTCATGGGTCGGGAAGACACTATGGAACAGCCCATAGCTTGACAATGTAAAAGCTGCAGTCACATTGTACTTGTTCTATGAGGACTAGTATTGACACAGATCAGAAAACTACCCCAATAACGAATGTTTGCTTTAAAAACTGAAATCCCTGTGTGTTATAAGGAAGAGAATTTGTGGATGTCAACTTCTTTATTATGACGAAACACAATGTTTCGGAGTATATGCTTACTCCTTCATCAGGTGAAGTGTGCTATGTCACTGACATCATATCATGTACATCTGTGGTTATTTTTGCGATCAGAAAGGATTCCCCCAATCTCATTAAAATCAGATCTTAGTTCTCGCTATCACTAAAAAAGATCTGAGGACATCCCATTACAGATCACGTCAGAACGACCTTTGATCCGACCAATCAAAGCATCGCTTACCAGATCGTGAAAGTGACAGTCAGAATGTGTTTCCTAATCATGCAACCTCGAAAACGTTAACACGGGGTATTCCGAACAACAGTTACGGCCCGTACGACTGATTCTGTCTGTCTCTATCTTCCGTGGGATAAACATTTGAGTGGAGGAGGCGTTGCACAGTACGTGGGAAGCACTGCCATACAATCTCAATCATATACTAGACATTCCGGAATGTTCGTTTGTTCAGTTTTCAAAATTTTAATCGAGAACTGTGTCAACATATTTTTCAAGCGTAGTCTGAAATGGAAGTCACTAGGTTGAAACAAGTGCCGTAAAGCTCGAGAAAGCTGCTTTCTAATTGGCTGATGTCGACTTCTTGTTAGTCATTTCAGTGATCGGTCAAAGTTGGCGAAAGGTCGTTCTGATGTGACCCATAATCGGATGTCCTGAGATCTTTATTTAGCGGCAGCGAGAACTTAGATTTGATTTTAATGAGATTGGATCTCAACCGAAGCTATATAGCTGTGTACCAGGCTTTGAGATGCGCCATCTTGAATGCTGGTCTTCAATCCATAAATGTCGTGATGACATTAGTAAAGCATCTCTCTCCAGACAGTTTATAACCCATGCTTGCCGTAAAAGGTGACTATGCTTGTCGTAAAAGGCGACTTACGGGATCGGGTGGTCAGGCTCGCTGACTTGGTTGATGCATTTCATCGATCCCAATTGCGTGGATCGATACTCATGATGTCAATAACTGGATTGTCTGCTCCAGACTCGATTATTTACAGACCGCCGTCATATAGTTGGAATATTGCTGAGTGCGGCGTTAAACAACAAACATTGGGATTGGGATTCCCCCCACATGGGTACAATAAATGAGGCCCATTTCCGGTGTACCTCATGCGTGTATTGGTGGTGTTCTTCAACTTCTTTTGAGTAGTATACATACGAATGTTGCCTTGTTCACAGTGTTTGTAATGGATGTTATTATTTGTTTCAGAGAAGATTGGAAGCCTGTTTTAACTATCAACTCTATAGTTTATGGATTACAGTACTTGTTTTTGGTAAGATCCTCTTTAGCTTACTTCTTTATGTAACAGTAGATGGTAATGTCACTGTTATCCTTCTAGGGCCTTACAGCAGGGGTCGATTTAACTGCTGGCTCGTTGGCCTGTGGCCAGTTAAAATTTTAAAAGGCTTGCTGAAACATAAAGTAGATGGCCTGTCTGGCTAGTCAAAATTTCACCCATTCTCTGTGTATGTTTAGTTTTTTTATTTGGACCCTGCACATGAATCATGGAATTGAGATGAGAAAATATTTAGGGGGAATCTCGGTAGAATGACCCAACCAGCGGCCATTTTGTAATGTTCTGTACAACAACAACATCTTTATTTGATAATCAAATCGTCATGAAATGAGGCAAATGGAAGCCAAGATTTAATCTGCAAATGACGCTTTTGGGGTGGGGAGGGAGGAGCCCCCTGGGTATCTCAGTCGTGGCCTCTAACATTTAGTTTTTTGCCAGTTAGTTAGGAGAAGGGCCATTTAGTTTGCAGAAGGGCCTGTAACTTTTGAAAGCAGCAAGTCCTGCAAGCTACATACGAACCACTGGATTGTCTGGTCCATGCTCAATTATTTACAGACCCCAATCCTATAGCTGGAATACTGCTGAGTTTGGCATTAAACTTCAAGAAACAAAGAAAAACAAAGAACTGTATGGATGACGTTGCCTCCTTTACAGCATGTCTCACAGTGTCTTGTGTTGTGTTTGCAGGAACCAAACCCCGAGGATCCTTTGAACAAGGAAGCAGCCGAGGTGTTACAGTCAAATAGGAGGCTGTTTGAACAGAACGTTTCTAAATCTATGCGAGGAGGCTATGTAGGATCTGTACTTTTCGAAAGGTGCTTAAAATGAGGATGGTTGCTATGGCGACGTGATGGAGTAATTTGTTGTCCAGAGACCTGAAGGGTAGTGCCTTGCTCTACCTTACGTTCATGCACTATGCGTTGTCGGAATTCTTACCAGCTCCAACGTATTGTGACATTTTGTGATCACTGACACCCCATGTCCTGCATGGTATGGTGTGGTTTGAACAAGTGCTGGGAAGCTGTTTGTATTTTACTGAAAGGGAAGCCAGTCAATATGCCATTTTCTACTTCTCCCAACAACTGTGTTTATGAACTTATTTATGTATTTGAGGAGTAAACTCGAAAAGTCTCCATGATAAACGCCACATTTTCTTCAGTAAAATACAAACAGGTGTATCATTATTTTGCCTCTTTGCATATATTGTCCTTGTCAATTTTATGACAGGTGTATAGGGATTGTGTCAAAATATTTATATCATTTTATGATAATGACTTCTGTGTGAAATATGAATTCCTGCATTTCCTGTTTGTTGGCAGTAGATAATCTTCTGTGAAGCAAGTTGTTGTTGAGAATGATGTTAAAACTTTTGACATGGTCCCCACTATTGAGATGCGTTGTGCTGAGGCTGTATTTAGAAATATATGAATACTGTCCTATTCATCTCTTTAATAAAGAAAACAGCGTGTATACTCTGTTCTGCAACTATTTTATTCTGTACGCAACAAGATTAAAATTATATCAAGAATATCGGATTACAGGTTTCTAGCCTGAAAAAACAAATGAGTGAATACCTATCATGATTAATGTTTTTAGCAAGTCATGGGTTTGAAAGCATTTATCTCTTCATTTCCTCATAAATATTACCGTGGTTTGTTTTGTCTGTAACCATGGTAACAATACAGGTACAACAGTTTCAGTTCATACGTGACATTATCAAGGAATATTTTTATATTATTCTTTGCCAAATGTTTGTGGTGAAAACATTAAAAGATTAGATGTCATGAAAAGCATTAATATTATCATGATTATCATGATTATCATTATTATACAGTGAAACCTTGTTAACTCCGACTTCAGTTCATAAGACTGCTTGATGCTGAAGACAGTTTCCTGTCAAGATATACTACTCAGCATTAAATAGGGATATTCTTGAGTGACAAGGAGAGGACGGGTGGCGCCGCGATTCGCTGTGCAGAGTTGCGTCCCTTGGGCACACCAGAAAACTGATTGTGGGTTCGAATCCCAGTTCGCCCCGATTATGTTTCTAGGTTTGTCAGCACCATACCCGTGCTCGTGGGTTTCACCGAAGTGGTAAACGTCTGAGACCTGCATCATTTCGGGCTTTCTTCCCACATTAAGCTGCTACGCCGTGATATAACTGAAGTACTGTTAAAAGCAGCGTTAAACCAACCCACCCACTCTCTCTGAGTGTCCAGATGGGCGTAGTCTGAGTGGATGTTTGGAGGTGTCATACGAATAGCATATTGAAGAACTATGAACTCTCCTGTAGTAAATAATGCAAAAAAGTTCTACATCTTGCTTCTTGTATGTATTCGTATTTGACATGTGACACATTAGAGTCATCACATGCAAGGGCGGATCCACTGTTTTTAAAAGGGAGAGGTCCAAAATATCAAAATCCTCTCTCAGATAATTTTACTGCCTTCAACATACTACATCTGGTTTTCAAAGAGGGGGGTCCATATCGCCTGGACGCCCTGCCCTCAGGATCCGCCTATGACATGGACAGAAAAGATTTGAAATACCCAAAAGACTGGATCCAAGGGAATGAAACTGTCCTGCTTACTAAAATATACGATCAACACCCAAAGTGAATGATATAAAGTGCGTAAATAGTCAATGGCTCAAAGGTTTTTTTGGAGCCATGTTGTAAATCTATCTTACTGCATGCAAAAACAAGGTGTCGGATCTGATGTTTGGCTTTAGTTTACATATACGCTTTGATTGTGCCTGATCTACAGATGTGGTCATGAATGTAGCGTGAATGGGTTGGTTGGTGGTCTGGGCACCACAATTCCTGTGCAGAGTTGTGTCCCTTTGTAGCTGTCATTTCAAGCTCCTAACCAACTTGCACCATCACACTCCCAGGGTCATCATTGTCACCAGTGTGCTAGCAGCATCACAAGAATCTAAACTATTTCCCCTCTAACCCCAAATGTAGTGGCATTTATGTTTTGGGGTATGTCTTTGGGAATACCATCATGACGAATTGGGAAAATTAACAGCTGAATATTTCCCGAATGAATTTGTTTTCAATTCAAAAGTCCCAAGCTGGTGGAGCTAACGAGGTTTCACTACATCATGCATGTCTGCAGTTATTTCTAACAAATAGTATAACAGAAAGAAAATGTTACGTTTTCTGTGTTCCACGTTTTGTGGAATTCTTTTCACATATACCTGCTTTCTTGATTCATGTCTGTCATTTCATTCGATTATGTATTCCTGTTTGTGTCATTCTTGATGATAATCGTTATAAACATTAAAAGACTAATTTACATAAATTGCTAGGTACTATTGTCTGTGAACATTGGGAATAACATCAAGGTTTGAACTTATAAATCCACTAGTCTGTCAAAACCTATCTGAAGGGGGGGCTGGCAACATTTCGTCGTGGACTAACTTTTACAATTAGTTAGAAGCTGATGAAGCAGATAAGTTTTTGGACAATTAAGAATGAAAACTAATTGCATGTCATTTCAAGTCATTTGTGGTGGCCCAGTCGTCTAAGGCACCCTGATTCGCTGTGCAGAGTTGCATCCCTTGGGCACGCCAGAAACCTATGATTGTGGGTTCGAATCCCGGTTCGCCCCGATTATGTTTCTAGGTTTGTCAGCACCATACCCGTGCTCGTGGGTTTCACCGAAGTGGTAAGCTTCTGAGACCTGCATCTCTTCGGGCTTTCCTCCCACATTAAGCAGACATGCCGCGATATGACTGGAATACTGTTATTAGCAGCGTTAAATCAAACTCACTCACTCACTCCAATCATTTGTCCCATTTTCAGATATATATGGGGACAATCACTTTCTTCCTAAGCTAGTTTGGATGACTTTGTATAGGTGAGATAGTCTGGTGGAGGATGACTGCTTTAAGGCTGCCAAGTCCTTTTTAGCTCCTTTTGCAAGCCCTTCTTACTGAAAACAGCATGATCAGCTTTGATATTCCACATGAGCTTCTTTTCCAAACTGTGGACTTGTATTGGTAAGGTTGTACCTCCATCTGTATTATGTTGAGTTGAAACAGGTTGAGAGAGTTATCTGTTCTTGGCTGAGTACTTACTCAGTATTTGGTAAATTTAGATGTGAAACAAAATAAGTAATTTGAGGAACAACTCATTCAATAGGTACCAAATGAAATGTAATGTTTATTCAAATTGATTATATGCGGATTGGCTTCTAGCCTTCCCGATTCAACTCGCCCTTTAGAATATTACCATAGGCTGGCGGGCTCACATGGATTTTGAATGCTATGGTGATTCTAACAATTCGGAAGCATCAAGTTTGGTTCCTAATGTAGACCCTACAATTCATGGCTATTGTTTGGCAGGTTACTCTTTCCCATCTCTGTATTTTCACTTACCGTATTCGACGTAATAAGCGCCGAGGGCACTCTCAAAATTAGAAATAGGGGGCTCATATAAGAATGTTATTTTGGGTGGGGGAAAGAACAGTTGAAAGATAAATTTCGTGGTTTATGCTGACAGCCTGAAATGTTCATATACAACAGATATATATTTCCAGAATTAAATTGCCCATAATTAAGGGTGCATGTAACACACACTTGCGTATTATACGCGAATAAATAAGTCTTTTGTACATTGATCAATCGGAAGGGGTGCTTATGAGGATTGTTCACTAGCCAATATATTAGTAAATATCACCGTGGGTGCTTAGAGCGGGGTGGTTATTACGTCGAATATCGTAGTTTCTGTTATTCTCAATGATTTTGTTTTATTGGATTTAAGCATTTTTGACAATAATGACAGAAGTTCAGATGACTCTCTGTGCACCTTCATGTTAAGTTGCTTTCATATTTTTAGGTGACAGGCAGTGATTGAAATAAGCACCTACCTTGCCCATGGCAAGTAGATCTCGTTTCGTGGCCGTAGTTTCAAATTTGTAGGGGTCCTCATGGGCTGCAGTAAATTTCTAATATTGATTTGACACAATATGCTGCAGTTTTTTAAATGAGGGCCTGAAGAATTTAGTCCTGGCTGCAGCTTCTAGAGTGTGGGTCTGGATGGCAGTCTGGCAGTTCATTTATTTCAAATACTGGTGACAGGATTGGTGTCATGTGATGCAACACAATGATTTACAGACATGTTTAAGTCAAGTTTCTTATTAATTCAAAGGGGCGGTCGGGTAGCCTAGTAGTTAAAGCGTTCGCTCGTCACGCCGAAGACCCGGGTTCGATTCCTGACATGGGTACAATGTGTGAAGCCCATTTTGTGTGTCCCCCGCCATGATATTGCTGGAATATTGCTAAAAGCGGCGTAAACGCATACTCACTCACTATTAATTCAAGGTATGGTATTAGAATCAAAAAGTAAATTTGTAGAGTTTTAAACTTTTCATTCCTGTATCAACTTCATTTTCCCATTGTCAATCATTTCACAGTTGAAGTTGGAGTCAAATGGCAACAGAATGTATTACTGTTACAAACATTCATGACCTGTTCATTGTTTTGTTGAAAAGTTGAGTGAATCCTGTATTAAATATGCATGATGTACATCAGATATGGAGCACAGTTCTAAGACCGTGGAGACTTTGATCAACTCACAGAACAATGGGGAAAAGACATTTGTGATGGTACTGCTGTTTTTCTACCCAAGGGGTGCTCCTTTAAATGATGGGTCTGAAACGAAGACCTTTGACTATTTAGCTCTGTAAAATGTTCATATGATCAACCATACAGATGATAACTAGGATTAAAATATCCTTACTACCAAAGGGTGTTATGTTTCATTGTGGGTGCCTGTGCAGTGTTGTGTCCCCTGTTATGCAAGGATCTGCTGATTATCGATTCCAATCCCTGATTTGCCCTAATTGTGAGGTTTGTTTGGTCAGCACCATAAGTCATGGGTTTCACCATAGTGGAAGACATCTATGGCCTGTGACACTTGGGCTTTTGTCCAACAGAAGCTGACAGGCCTTCATTTTTCTGAAGGGGGGCACGGGTGGCCCAGTCGTCTGAGACGCCACGATTCGCTGTGCAGAGTTGCGTCCCTTGGGCACGCCAGAAACCTATGATTGTGGGTTCGAATCCTGGTTCGCCCTGATTATGTTTCTAGGTTTGTCAGCACCATACCCATGCTCGTGGGTTTCACCGAAGTGGTAAACGTCTGAGACTTGCATCACTTCAGGCTTTCCTCCCACATAAAGCTGACACGCTGTGATATAACTGGAATACTGTTAAAAGCGGCGTTAAACCCAACTCACTCACTATTCATCCTTTGTGGGCAGAAGGCGCTAAAGGAAGAATCAGCTGATGGATATATATTCCAAGGTAAAGATGTTACCTTCACAAATTGAATGCTCTGTCACAGCAGTGAATAACAAGTCAAAGATCAAACTGGCCAGGGTGCTACCTTGCACTAACACGTCCCACAGCAAAGATTACTAGTTATCATTTCAAGAGTTGGGTGGTGTGGTAGCCTAGTGGTTAAAGTGTTCGCTCGCCATGCCGAAGATCCGGGTTCGATTCCCGACATGGGTGCAAGGTGTGAAGCCCATTTCTGGTGACCCCGCGTGATATTGCTGGAATATTGCTAAAAGTGGCGTAAAACCACACTCACCCACTCATCTCAGGAATACAAAATGGAAACTGAACTTCTAACTACCGTTTACAAGTGTAATAGGAGTGCTACAAATCTGGGTTGTTTTTTACAACTGTACAGTTCTGATTTGTGAATATTCGGACAACCTTATGACCCAAATTACATAGCGGATAGGGGAGAAAAAGTGATTAGAGATCAGCATTTGTCCTGTTCAAACTTAAGATGGGGCAGTAGGGTAGCCTGTTGGTTAAAGCGTCGCTCGTCATACCAATCCTGGGTTTGATTCCCCACATGGGTACAATGGGTGAAGCCCATTTCTGGTGTCCCCCGCCATGATATTGCAAGAATATTGCTTAAAAAATGGCGTAAAACCATACTCACTCACTCACTCAAACTTAAGGGTTAAAAAGGCATTGACAGGCAGGCTCAGGGGTTCAAATATTCCTGGCCCAATAGAAAACTAGCCACGATAGGGGTTAGGCAGCTATTTCATAGTGTGACTTCAGCAATCTACAGGTGATGGGGATAGAGTGGGGATGGTGTGGAGGACATCCCACTGTGGACATAGGGTATTTGTATGAAATACATTGATCATATAATAAAGTTGAATATTGATTTTATTCTGTATTGTAGTTGACCCACTCATATATTAAAGATGCATTGCCAAAATGATCATTGATATGTAATGAATGGAAAATGGTGGTATGGTAAATGTGTGAAAAAAAGCAAAAATACATAAATATCATATGTGTATATTAAATATTAAAGTGAATATACTAAATTGTCACAATGTGAAAATCAGAGTAAAAGGAAATGTAACATTGGGTCAAGACGTGACATGACCCACTGTGCCCCTGGTTGAGCCTGGACTCACCCAACCATCCAGAAGTCCTCTATATACAAGTATGAAACATGAATAAGTGATATTTGTAATTAATATTGTACATGATGTCTTTGCTGTAACAGTCATGTATTTTTGATTAATTTGAATAAACAGCCATGTTTATGTTTTATCTGCATGTTTGTTTCCACCTGACCACTTAACCTCATCCCTGTTAAGATCAGGGTTAAGGGGCGCAGTGTCCCAGTCGTCTAAGGCACCGCGATTCGCTGTGCAGAGTTGCGTCCCTTGGGCACACCAGAAACCTATGATTGTGGGTTCGAATCCCAGTTCGCCCTGATTATGTTTCTAGGTTTGTCAGCACCATACCCATGCTCGTGGGTTTCGCTGAAGTGGTAAACCTGAGACCTGCATCACTTATGGCGTTCCTCCCACATTAAGCTGACACAACGTGATATAACTGGAATACTGTTAAAAGCGGCGTTAAACCCAACTCACCAAGATCAGGGTTAGAATTGGTCTTCAGCTACCCATGCTTGTCTTTAGAAGTTACTAACGGCATCAGGTGGTCAGGCTTCCTGAAATGGTTTCCCCCATGTATCCCAATTTCCTAAATCAATTGACAGCCTCCGTGGTCTAGTGGTAGAGCGTTCGCCTGGAGAGCGGAAGGTCCGGGGTTCGATCCCCGGTCGCGTCATACCAAAAGATGTTAAAAGATGGTACTTTTTGTTACCCTGTCTGGCGCTCGGCATTAACGGGTTAAAGCAAGGACTGGTCGGCTCGGAGTCAGTATACTGTGTCTGAGTGGGGCATTCATGTTAAACTGCGGCATGGTATCTCAGTGGGCTAGCACTATAAATCGGCATCACGTCGCTATATAAGTGCAATAATCTTGGGCGCGACGTTAAACCCAATTTCACCTCACCTCACCTAGATCAATTCTCGTGATGTCTGGATTTCCTGGTCCAGAGTTGATCATTTGCGGGTCCTTATATACCTGGAATATTGCTGAGTGCAGCTTAAACAACAAACAAAACACACTTCACTTAATCCCCAGGAAACACTGCTCCCAAAACCCCAACACCCACTTTGTATGCAGGTCAAAGTCACTGTGAAGACTATTCTTTGACATCTAAGTCCAGGGCCCACTTGCACAAAGCAATCTTAGCACTAAGATGATCGTAACTCCCATACTTTTACGTAGGCTTACAATAGTCGTAGCGCTGAGATCGCTTTGTGCAAGTGGGCCCAGGAAATAGTTTCGGTGTAAGTAATGAAACGAAAACCATCAAGAATATGAACATATATTTATTTACACATACTTAAGAGACAGAATGTCTGCAACCATAAAAAGCTAAAAACATGTTTGTTATATCTCCATTAGATATCATCAATTAAAACAATTGGAAACAGAACTGGTGGGTCCAAGGATGGCATGACGTCCGGAGGGCATCTTAACTACTAGCAGTTCCAACTGGGTAAGGGAGGGAACCCAGCACAGAGAATTGCAGCACCTTAAAGGGGTGGACGACCCCATCTTCCCGAGGCAAGAGAGTTAACTGACGTTAAAAGTCCATTTTCAACCCTTGCCGACCTAGGCTGGAATTACTGGGGTCGATCGTAGCGCTACCAGTGGCTATTACCAGTTATGTCCCTTCTAAGTCTCTCCTATGGACCAATCAGATTCCACCTCTCGTATCACTTGTGTTTGCTTCACACAAAATGGTGGCGCCCGGTCAGGACGATCTGATCGATGATCAAGATCTATATTGTGATAAAACGGGTCTTACATCGCGAAATGCATCAAATCACGTGAGCACCTTGATTAAAAACATGAAAAGATTTGGAAAATATCTGCTGTCAACGAGTTGGCGGTGCACATGCTTTGCAAATCCTGCAATCGACCGAAATCTGCACGACAGTTTATGAACCGGATTTCGATTTCGGTGCGCGATTTTGATTGGACTATGCATAGAGTCGTTAGTCAAGCCAAAATGTAACTCCATAATACCAGCCTAGTTCGGCAAGGGTGGAAACTGGACTTTTATAGTCAGTTAACTCTTCTGCTTTGGGAAGATGGGGCCACCCATGCTCGAGCTGCAAGATTGGCATGGAGAATCTCGGAACTTTTAAGCGAAATTCATGCATATTCATGTACTAAACCATCCACGAATATGCATGAATTTCGATGAAAAGGTCCTGTGCTTGTAATCAACATTTGTTGAACATTTTGTGAATATTGGTTTCAGGATATTAGGGACCTACTTTGTGACGAGAATTTGTTTCACTTGCAAACCGTGATATGCCACTCTAAGCAACCATGGAAAGTAGAGCGTTAAATAAAACACAGCTTTTGATCGTTATCATTACACTACGCCTAGTGTATATTTAAGATGGTGGAGGAAGCATGAGTCCGGCGTTTCCCAGCGTGACGTCGCACGTCAATTCAACGTCTAAATGAACGCCCTATGGCGACGTTATCAACCACTCCATAGACCCTCTAAACAGCGGCGCATCTGCGAAGTTGTCTACCTAACATCAATGCACAAGGTGGAGACACTCGCTACTGTGTGGAATTCTGTAAGGGACATTCTCGCGATCGCCACCTTTAAAAACGAGCTTAATTAATATGCCAAAAGTGCGAGATTGCGAAATGTCCTTACAGCATTCCATACTACTATGAACTTGCCGCTATCGTAGGCACTTTGGCGGGGTTCATATTGGCTGCTGCTAGTCCCCGTACCTTCAGACATTGTTCTCTCCATGTGATATAAGTGCTTCCGCGACAGCAAATATGTTCACGTGTCACAATAACTTTTGCTTTTGAGTGTATTTGTAGATAGAAAAAGGAATATTCTCGTATATACAAATCAATAAAGCGTAAAAGCTGAATAATTTTAGGATACGAAACTTGTTTGGTAGACAGTTAATATTGCCAGTCATAACACAGTGTCAAGACATAACACATACGGACACGGTGGGTTTGTTGAGGCCCTTCTTCCCGAGGCAAGTGAGTTAACTGACTATAATTTGGCTGGAATTCTGGAGTCACATTTTGGCTGAGTAAAGAGTCGAAACATTACGTCCGGTTCGTAAAAATCATGGACTTCAACGTTCAGATTTCGATCGACTGCGGGATTTGCAAAGCACGTGTACCGTCAACTAGGCATAGACAGATACTTTCCAAACTTTTTCATGTTTTTAATCAAGGTGCTTGAATGATTTGATGCACTTCGAGGGGTAAGACCCGTTTTATTACAATAAAGTTCTTGATTATCGATCAGATCGTCTGGACTGGTTGCCGCCATTTTGTTTGAAGCAAAATGCAAGTGATATGATAGTTGGAATCTGATTGGTTAATAAGATGGGCATTGAAGAGACATAACTCGTATCAGCCACTGGTCATGCTACGATCGAGCCCAGGAATTCCAGCCTAGTTAGGCAAGGGTGGAAAATGGACTTTTAAAGTCAGTTGACACCCTTGCCTCGGGAAGAGGGTTGAGGCTTTACTCTAACCAGGTCATTTAAAGAACACTGACAGGTTTTTACATTAACGTTATCTGCTTCCACCATGCAATGTTGGAAAGAAGACTGCCTCGTTGTCTCTTGGTATTTTTATCTTGACAGAGAGTATAGACTTTCGGATCAAAACCAATCTCATCAATATCAGATCTTAGTTCTCGCTATCGCAAAACAAAGATCTGAGGACATCCCATTTTGGGTCACGTCAGCACTACCTTTCATCAGACCAATCAAAGCGTCGCTTACCAGATCATGAAAGTGACAGTCGGAATGTGTTTTCTAATCATGCATCCCCGAAAACATTAACACGGGGTATTCCGAACGACAGTTACGACCCGTACGACTGATTCTGTCAAAATTATCGTCTACCTCTCGCTTCCATGGGATAAACATTTGAACGGAGGAGGCGTTGCACAGTATGTGGGAAGCACTGCCATACAATCGCAACCATATATTAGACATTCCGGAATGTTCGTCTGTTCAGGTTTTTTTAAACGAGAACTGTGTCAACATATTTTTCAACCGTAGTCTGTAATGGAAGTCGCCAGGTTGAAACGAGTGCCGTAAAGCTCGTGAAAGCTGCTTTCTAATGGGCTGATGTCGACTTCTTGTTAGTCGTTTCAGTGGTCGGTCAGAGTTCGCGAAAGGTCGTTCTGACGTGACCCGTAATGGGATGTCCTCAGATCTTTGTTTAGCGGCAGCGAGAACTTAGATTTGATTTTAATGAGATTGGATCTCAACCGAAGCTGTATAGCTGTGTACAAGGCGTTGAGATGTGCCATCTTGAATGCTGGTCTTCAATCCACAAATGTCGTGATGACATTAATCAAGCATCTCTCTCCAGACAGTTTATGCACACTCTGGTACCCCGAAGGGCATGGTCGTGGGTATAACGTCCTGGCGATATGGGGAACAAACTGCTAACATGAAAACAGTTCAGTCAGAAAATGAAGACACTTGGAGAAATTGGATCTAGTCTATGGCGTCGCTGTAGTCACGTCGTGATCGTGGTCGTGGTCGTGCACGTGTACGTGGACATACGTCAGGTAGAAGACGGCGCCGAGGAGGGCGCCGAGGAGGATAAAGAAGATGCCGAGAGTGATGGCCACGATGGATAGGTCCTTGGCGTTCTTGCCCTGCTCGGCCGCAACCTGCATGTCTCCACGTCTCTTGGCTGATCGGCTCTGTCAACACACAACACTTATTTAAAAGCTCCATTCACAGAAAAACAGGGGTGGTCGGGTAGCCCAGTGGTTAAAGCGTTCGCTCGTCACGCCGAAGTCCCGGGTTCGATTCCCGACATGGGTACAATGTGTGAAGCCCATTTCTGGTGTCCCCCGTTGTGATATTGTTGGAATATTGCTAAAAGCGGCGTAAAACCATACTCACTCACTCACAGAAAATCAGTTGTCACTGCCTTCCTCGCATTTTATTGAATACACTTCCGTTTACATCAAAGTGCCCTGTCCACAACAACTACAACGTTACATGAAATATACAGGTACAAAATCTGCAAACTGACGAGACCAAGGGAGATAACTTGCGAATGGTTTAAATACATTAACAGGTAAGGATGTTGGAATCGAACCTTTGACTTCATTGTGTTCCGGGAGTGATTGAACCATAAGACTAACCAGCGTCCCTTTAAGACTCCAACTGCCATTGGAGACAATTACTGGAAACTGTGAATAGGGCTTAACGCCGTGTTGAATAGTATTTCCGCCGATGTATCACAGCGCGTCCGTTTGATATGTGAAGCAAGCCAAGGGTGATTCAGGTCATAGATGTGTACTTTGGTGGTGGTGGTGGTGGTGGTGGTGGTGGTGTTGATTGTTGATGGTGTTTGTGCGTGTGTGTGTGTGGGGGGGGGGGGGGGGGCTGGTCAAGGTGTGTCCTGTTGGGAAGACGAGCATGTGACAAAAAACTAGGACGGTGGGGGGGTTGCCTATTGGTTACAGCGTTCGTCTGTCAAAGCCCGGGTTCGATGGGTACATCGTGTGAAGCCCATATCTGGTGTCCCCTGCCGTGATATTGATGGATTATTACTAATTACGGCGTAAAACCATACTCGCCCACTAAAAACAAACTCATTCACACCTGGTATACCGCAAATTGAGCTCCTGTCTATTCCTTATTTCCGTCTTGGTTATAAACGGCGGGTATATGCAATCTACGTCTATTTATGTACGATATACTTGTTGAAAGGACCCACTGCGTGTCAACAAAGTTCACCCATCAGATGGACAATTTTTCCCAACAGTACACGTCAAACCCTGTAGGCGTACGATAACGCCCTACATTACATATTCACATACCCTGCAGGCGTATACAAGCGCCGTGATGCCAGCCGGGGTGAAGCAGCAGAAACAAGCAAACAGCGCCAGCTTGAAGTGGCTTGTCGGTCTTTCCGAGAACATGGGGTCGTTTCCGTGGATGTCCTGTCAAGTAATAACGGTACATTGTATAAGCTCTAACTCAAACGACTTACTTTTTGACTTGCTGTGATTTTATGCGGTAAACCTTGTTTATATGCTGTATACGCCATAGTCGGCAATATTCCAGCTATATGGCATGGAAACCAATCTGGATCAGACAAACGAGTGCCTGTAGATCGATGCTCCTGGTGTCAATCATTTGATTATCTTGACCATACTTAATTATTAATAGACCGCTGGAATAAAATGCTGAGTGCGACGTTAAGCGAAAAGAATTGCTTGAAGCAAATGCAAGTGATATGAGAGATTGAATCTGATTGGCCAATAGGAAGGACATAGAAGGGACATAATTCGTAATGGCTACTGGTGGCGCTACGATCGAGCCTGAGAATGCCAGCCTAGTTCGGCAAGGGTGGAAACTAGACTTTTATAGTCAGTTAACGTGTTTTTATAGTCAGTAAGGGAGCTAAACCAACTCCCTGGCTCAGTCACATCTCCTACTCACCAGCCGTACCGCGGGCTCATCCAGGGGCTTGGGGGTGTAGGAGGCCAGGTACGCCCCATTGTAGACGGTGTAGGGGGTGGGGATGTCAGACGCTGGAACAAGATAGCAGGTTAATACAACGAAGCATAGCAACCATGACCTATATTGTCTATTACAGAATATACTCGGCGCCAAAAGAAACGCGAACAGTAGACACATATGGAGAAGTATGTATGTAAAAAGAGATGTTTCCAATGTGTACCAATTAATGACAAAACTAACAATCAGTGAAGTGTTACCGCAATGACTTTATTCTTATCACGATATGCGGCACATGATTTCCAAACTTTACACGCTAATCCTGCACGAGACAAATGGTGCATCTCGTGTCATGGATCTATGACGTCACATGTGATGCGTTCATGAGCGTCAGTTCACACACTATACCAGTATGTTGGTTTGTGTATCGAACCAATCTAACAATCTTGAATATGGGGAATTATTCTTATATTAATCAAAATGTATGGTATTCGCGTTTCTTTTGGCGGTGAGTATATAAACTGCCGGCCAAAAGAAAGCATCCACTTGAACATTAAATTTGACCAAATAATTATTGACAAACGTTATCAAAACGTACTAGGCTAAAGAAAGTCACCGAAACACTGCCAAATTAAGGTCCAAAATACAACCATGACAGCCGTATAAAATACGCCATCAAGAATAACCATGTCTTGTTTGTTTCATTTCTAGCCACCATTAAACATAGGTGTGTACTTTCTTCTGTCCGGCAGTATATGTGTGCAGCAAAAGTCTGAGGCGTCGTTTTGTTTTTGTACAGTTGGTCCTGTTGTGTAAGGTCGTCTGAGCTTTAGTTCAGCGTTAAACCCAACACTAAGGCTGAAGAGTGAGTTGGGTTTAACGCCGCTTTTAACAGTATTCCAGCTATATCACGGCGTGTCAGCTTAATGTGAGAGGAAAGCCCGAAGTGATGAAGGTCTCAGACGTTTACCACTTCGGTGAAACCCACGAGCACGGGTATGGTGCTGACAAACCTAGAAACATAATCGGGGCGAACCGGGATTCGAACCCACAATCAGAGGTTTCTGGCGTGTCCAGGGGACGCAACTCTGCACAGCGAATCGCGGCGCCTTAGACGACTGGTCCCCGGGCGGACGCTCTACCACTAGACCACAGAGGCGGCCTCATTCAGTTGAATACATACATACATACACGACTCAAAAGAAATTAAAGAACATATGATGTTTTCATATGACTACAGTTAATATGTTATGACACGGCATGAGAGATTAGCTGTAGCCATATGGAAATAATACAGGTGTTCTTTAACATATTTTTAGCGGTGTATCTAAAATCTACCGAAGCCTTAAGGGCCAATTGTTTTTTGTTTGATTTTTCGATACTAAGTTGAAATTTCAAGATACTAAGTTGAAATGTCAAGATACAGAAGTTAGTATCTTGAAATTTCAATTTAGTATCTTGAAATTTCAACTGAGTATCTTGAAATTTCAACTTAGTATCTTGAAATTTCAACTTCTGTATCTTGAAATTTCAACTTGAGATTTCAAGATACTAAGTTGAAATTTCAAGATAGTATCGAATTTTTTTTATAAATTAATGGCCCTAAAAGGCTTCCGTAAAAATCAAAACGTCCAAACATATTTCATCACAAAGTGAGATCCAAGTTAAACATCATGTACCAGCCTTATGATCCTTCAGTCACTGTACACGTCCGACTAAAACTTTATCCATGGGCACTTTTTTTAATCATTGTCCATCTATCATTCCGAGGTTTGCACGTTCTGCTTGGCGAGCAGGTTCACCCGAGGCCTCCTGACAGCGTCATCTGACACCGACCCACCAATCAATCACTCGGCAACACCCAGTCAGCACTCGTGCAACTTATATAGCAATATACCAATTAGCCTTGCTCTAAGGCTGTACTGAATGTTCATGGGTGTTTCGTAATTCTATCCTTATAATAGGCAAGTCTAGATATGTAGTCTCAGGACGCCAGTCTCTTATAGGGACACCTTGTTCATATTATTTCTATAATCAAGAAATTATGATTTGATCTATCAATTATTGCCTTAGAGACTTGTGCAAGTCTATATACCGATCTGTGTATAATCGACAACATTCGACCTGACTCCATCACTTGGAACAGAGGAAATAGATTAATTAAAACGACAGACGTGTGTCACAACCCGAGCTCCTGTGTTCCATTCTCGATTCAAACATTTGAAGGAAAGATACCACTTTAAAAAAGTTTAAAAGAAAAACAGATTAATTTCACATGTCTATAGTTAATCTGTTATGCCGACTGATCTTCTCATATGACTGTAGTTACTCTCATGACCGATTAATTGTAGTCATATGACAAACAGACCCGTGAAGATCCGGGGTAGAATAGGTCTTCAGCAACCCATGCGTGCCGTAAAAGGCGACTATGCTTGTCATAAGAGGCGACTAACGGGATCGGGTGGTCAGGCTAGATGACTTGGTTGATGCATGTCATCGATCCCAATTGCGTGGATCGATGCTCATGATGTCAATCACTGTATTGTCTGGTCCAGACTCGATTATTTACAGACCGCCGTCATAAAGCTGGAATATTGCTGAGTGCGGCGTTAAACAACGAACCAACCAACCATATGACAAACATCCGGTGTTCTTTTGACTAGTATTATGTTCTCAGCAGTAAAAAAACTTCTGAATATGGATGCTTTCGTGCTCTTCGACATATGCGATAAACAAACCAAAATAAACAAGCATGAAAAACTTATATCCCCCGCCAATATGACATGTCCGGTCCTCCGGAAACGAGCACGACTGCCATTGTCAGTCTAAGTCAAAGTCGTTGCCATAGAAACTCGAAAAATAATTTTTCCAAAATCCCAAACTATCAAAAGGCACCAGTTCCCCACTAGACTTATTTATGTGCCAAGTTTGGTTAATATATCTCACATGATTTTTTAGTTCTGCTCCGGAAACGAAACGTGACAGACGGACAGACAGACGGAAGGAGAGAACCCATTCCTAAAAATGACAGTGATCACTTGAAATTATTGATAAGTGCAGGCTAAACGTAATTCTGTTGAAGATTCCGGGGTATAGAATAGGTCTTCACCAACCCATACTTGCCGTAAAAGGCGACTATGCTTGTCGTAAAAGGCGACTAACGGGATCGGGTGGTCAGGCTGGCTGACTTGGTTGATACATGTCATCGATCCCAATTGCGTGAATCTCTGAATATCTTGGCATTTCATAATGTGTGTAGAACACAACAACAGCTCGACAGAATTTGAAGTTGAAAGTTTGATAAAGTACCGCAAATATTAACTTCAGACTTCACGCGATGAAATATACATCGTATTAATCAATGAGCGTCCATTTTTCCCATCGGAAAAAGGAATGAAATCATATTTATTTTTCAAGTTAACCAATCGATAATTAATCTGCAGCAACAAATGAGTATTTCAATGTTTAATACCCAAGATACATAATTACACGGTAGACGCAACATTACACACACTTCTGGCGGCACATGAATGTGCGTTGTAGTAATTTCCAGCATGAATTCTATACATACAAGTATGTTTTACGTTCGGCCAGTAAAAATGCATTATTGGTATTTTTCTGATAAATAAAATTGAATAATACTTACTTATTTTGGTCATGATTGCGTCCTATTTCGTACGGCGGATGTGCACGCGTGATCACTCCTGTATCCTGCAGCAGTGGGATGACGTCAGATCCTAGAAAAACTAACTCAATACACGACCTGACAATACACGTATTTATCGCTAAATGTTTCAGTGTTTCTTTAAATAATGTCGAAAGTATGTAACATTCTTCATAATTATATTCCCAAGACGTTGTCAATTGACAAAAAAAAACACAATTAAGTCAGAATAAACTCTCACCGTTAAGTTTTCTATTCATCCATCGCACACCTTCAAACCGTATTTCCAGAAGTGCGAATATTCTTACAAATAGATCAATTCAGATATTTTTAAGAGAGGTCCTTCTCAGCCGTGTATCGTTTTCTGCATCCAATGCTAACTCGATCTGAGTGTGATGCCCTCACCCCAGAGCTGCCGAGCCCCTACCCCCGGGCCGAAGTGACGTGAGTGATATATGCGTGCATGATCGCACCTTGAGGTGAGTAATTAGTCAGACGCCGGCGCATTACCTGACCATACCTTACCTGTACAACAACGCGGGCTTAATTGATTTATTATGTACGCGTTTCTTCCTGGGTGTCGCAGGATGCCATAACTGCCACCAAGAGGACATTTTTGTATCAGCTGCTATATTGTTATGTAAGACGGTCAAATTGTAAGATATAAGCATTAGGAAGAGGACCTCGTTGAGTCGGAATGTGCCTATGGCGATTCCTGGACAGACTGCCTCAAGGCGCAAGAGGATGTTTATCATTAAGACGACGAAGATGATCGGGGGTCTACAACGGATTTAGTTTGGTTTAACGCCGCTTTAAACATTATTGCAGTTCTATCACGGCGTGTCAGCTTAAGGTGGGAGAAAAGCCCGTAGTGATGCAGGTCATGGACGTTGACCACTTCGGCGAAACCCAGGAGCACGGTATGGTGCTGACCATTCGTCACCACTCGCCCCTTTCCGTAACCCGCAAGAAGACTTGTCCCGGAATAACACGAGTTGGTCACGAATGGGTGATGACAACCCGAGAAACATAATCGGGTCGAACCGGGATTCGAACCCACGATCAAATGTTTCTGGCGAGCCCAAAGGACGCAACTCTGCACAGCGAATTTCGGCGCCTTATACCACTGTGCTTCCTGTGCCCGCTCAACAGTGGAGTGTTAAGTTAGGATATGGCGGGGATACGCCTGTATAAGGATCTATACAGAAACGTCGCTCTGATAGTATAATAAAGAAGTTGTTATCCATAAATTATGTCTACCTTGGTTATTACAGTGTCGGACCGTGAAGATCCGGTGTAGAATTTGTCTTCGGCAACCCATGCTTGCTGTAAAAGGCGTCTATGCTTGTCGTAAGAGGCTACTAACGGGATCGGGTGGTCAGGCTAGCTGACTTGGTTGATGCATGTCATCGTATCCTAATTGCGTGGATCGATTATTTAAAGACCGCTGTCATATAGCTGGAATAGTGCGGCGTTACACAACAAATAAACAAACAAATTAGTGTCGGCGGTGACCTGACTGTCCTTGTTTCCCTGGAGAAAGTCAAAGTTCATTCGATCGACCTCGGACTTGTTATAGGAGTGGCTTCCTTACATAACTGTTGTCATAAATCTATACGAGTTAAGCCCACAGAGCAACTCTTCATTTCTTCCCTAAGAATAGGTGCTGACCCTAGCTGATGGTGAAATGCGCATCAATGAGTGAGTGAGTGAGTGAGTTGGGTTTAACACGGCTTTGAAAAGTATTCAAGTTGTGTCACAGCGTGTCAGCTAAATGTGTTCGCAAAGAGTGAAGTGATGCACGTCTCACAAACCCACAAGCACGGGTATGATGCTGACAAACCTAGAAACATAATCGTGAGAATTCGAACCATAACAGGTTTATGAAATGCTCAAGGGACACAACTCTGCACAGCGAATTGAGGTGTGTGTGTGTCTGTCTGCCTGCCTGCGCCTGCTTGTTCTTGTCCGGAGACCACTGGGATGCAATGCTGTAGTTAAACATGAAGACCCCACTCACACACAGTATACTGACTCCGAGCCGACCAGTCCTTGTATTAGCCCCATAATGCTGAGTACCGGCCAAGTACCATCTTTTAATCTTTTGGTATGACGCGGCCAAGGATCCAACCCCACCTTCCGCTCTCCCGCCGGACAATCTACCGCTAGACCACGGAGACGGTTGCAGTGCCTTAGTGCATATATGGACATAGTATCTATGTACATGTAAAACCAAAACAAACAGTTATTCGAATCTGTTTTCTCTTTGCATATTTTTTTTCATGAGTTTACTGTTTTGTTTGTTGTTTAAGGCAGCACTCAGCAATATTCCACCTATATGACGCAAGTCTGTAATTAATCGAGTCTGAACCACACAATCAAGTGATTGACATCACGAGCATCGATCCATGCAATTGGGATACGATGACATGCATCAACCAAGTTAGCGATCCTGACTACCTGATCCGTTAGTTGCCTCTTACGACAAGCATAGGCAAGCAAAACCAAAGGTAAGATATTGAGGACTTCTCAGCCTCCTTCTCAGCCGTAAGATACTCTAATATTGTGGCTCTTCATGTCTCACCAGCAATACGAGTCATAACATAACCTGTTCATTGTGAGAACACTGTTCGTGAAATAGAACAAGAAAAATCAGGGGAAGTTCATCTGATCTGTTTACCATATGACATCAGTTACAGTATGTCTCGGGGGAGCAGTCCAGTGTTCGCCTGTCAAGACAGTTGGGTTCGAGTCCCATCATTGGTATTTTGTGAGTCATTGCTGGAGTGGGGGGAAAAAGGAACAGAACAGCATGCTTGACGTAAATATAACAACAAAAAACATTTCCATAGTCAAAGAATATCTGCTATCAGCAATTCCGACGTGAGCATGTGTTTATAAACTACCATCAAATAGCAATGATACCAGGTGTTTGTGAAAAGGTGAGCGTATCCTGCCCCACCAGTGGAAGAACTGTCTAAAATGAAGATTGGATGGTCAACTTATGTTTCAGCCTAAGGGTGTGGTCCTGCTTCTGGTAAAACCCACTGATTTGCCAGTCAAGAATCGATTACTTACAGACAGCTGCGACGAAGCTGAAAGCGATGTTAATGTCCACTCACTCACGATGTGAATCCAAGATCACAAATTCTGTGCTGTGTTCACACCTGATGCGAGCACAAATCGTATGTAATGAAAACGTACCACAAATAAAATGAAACAAGACTTGAACTTTTAAGTAAGTCCGATATTCCAAAGTCTGATATTAAGTGTGCGTGTGCATGTGTGTACATTTGTACCTGGCAAATATGTGTCTTGTTTTTTAAAGGTATTGAAACACGGGAAATGATAATTGTTTCGTGTTTGATGTAATGACATGTTTTCCATCCTTGAGAACTCTGGAGGAGAACTCTTGAGATACCAGTGAATATCCGGGATAGAATAGGTCTTCAGCAAGCCATGGTTGATGTAAAAAGCGACTATGCTTGTCGTAAGAGGCGACTATGCTTGTCGTAAAAGGCGACTAACGGGATTGGGTAGGCAGGCTTGCTGATTGAGTTGATACATGTCATCGTATCGCAACTGCATGGATCGATGTTCATGTCAGTCACTGGATTGTCTGGTCCAGACTCAATTATTTACAGACTGCCATCATACAGCTGGAATATTGCTGAGTGCAGCGTTTAACAACAAACAAACAACAAAACTGAAGGATGACCACAATGTTGTATGGTTGATCATTGATGCCTCACCGTCCTTCATAATCCTGTGTTATCTCCATTCACCCCTTCTCTTCCCTGTGGTCTCTCATCACCAACTTATCACTCAATTTCTCCCACTCATGAAAGTCATTTGACTGGATGGCAATTTCAAGGGTGGTCTAACTCAAAAGGAGTCGAGCATATTTATTGTTTTAGAATTGTATTTAGAATTTAATACACTTATCCCCATAATCGTTCGATCTGTCTGAACTGAAGTGAACGTTATTCCACCCAGCTGCTATCAGCGGCATTAGAGGTACATCACTTAATACAAATATACAATATATATATCCACAGATTTACCGAGCATTGGCTTAAATTCGTCTTGCCCAAAGTTGAAAAAAGGACAATGATTTTAGTCATTCTTCTAAGTGAAAGACATGCTGTTCCTTTTGGTGTACTGTTGACAAAAACAAAGTTGCACCTGAGTATTTATAATGGACCAAACCAACATCAACATTTTCACCATGTTTATTCCCTTAAATATCATAAATTTTACAAACTCACTTTCAATATTCTTGTTTTCCAACAATGAAAAGTATTTTCTAATACTGCAAGCAGTAACAGCATCAACCCAAGCTCCGGGGTGATGCAGGATGAAGCTCAACATGTGGACACACACACACACACACACACACACACACACACACACACACACACACAAGCAAGGTTACCATGGTTACACTCACAACTGTACACCTCCCTTTTCGTCCAAAGCTTTGGTATTTTCATATTTTATTTCCCATATACACATGTTCATTTCAGCAAACAAAACCCCGCATGAAAGCATAATTTTATCTTCACAAACACACATAAGAACATTCTGAAACCAGGTAGTACATTTTTGAGACTGATGAAAAAAAAATGGCTGACATATCACGACTATTTTGTGGAACGTTTATTAAATTGTGCGCTCAGTCTTCCTCACATGTACAAAACTATATCGCCAAAAATATTCATAATCTCTAACTTCTTTTTTTCAGTATATTTGAAACACCAATGCCTGAGATGCAATTGTTTGTTTTTTTATGTCTTGATATAGCGGCCATAAAATTTCAACAGAAGGCACGTCCCAGGCCGCATACTAGGGTACTGAGACTTATTTTGATCAAATTTTACATGAACGTGCTCAGCCCCACATTGGGTGCTAATGTAGCGGCCATAAAATTTCTGAGTCCCATGATGGGATTCAAACCACAGACCTTCTGATCCGAGGTATGACGCCTTGTCCACATGACCAAAGAGGTTAACCCGGTCAGCAAGCTAACAAGGTAAGGATGTCATCTGTGGGATGTCTCCACGCCCTGCTACATTGACAATACAATCTCACTCTGACATGATGTTAAGTGCTGGTCCTGTGAATGTATCCGCTGAGCATCCAGTAACTCCTGTCTCTTCCTCCCCCAATACAAGATGATCACACTATAAGCCTCATGCATTCATTCCTACAGAATATACACATCTAAAGACATAGGCACATGGAGCCAATGCAATGATTCCACAAACACAAGCAGAGAAATGGCTTGGACTTGATGACTAAAACAAGGTGAAAATTGACCAGCAAAAAGTAACATCTTGATGTCTTCTATGCTATCACTATTGATATTGCCGGAGTAATTTTCAAAATTAACTTTTATCCTTTAAATAGAAATACACATACTACTCAAAAGAAGTTAAAGAACTTCAAGACAGGTTAACTAGTCATTGAAAAAATTAGGTGTTCTTTAGCTACTTTTCAGTATATGCTAATAGGGATGTGTGTTAAAATATCTTGGTGGAGTTGTCCCCCTTTGTTTCTTATTCTTCAGTTGTGATGACAGAGGACTTGTAGACAAAAAGAAAATGGCCTCATCTTGAGGATCTGACCAACTGATTCTGGCATCAAAGTAGGACTTATAATCTAAGATTGTTGCTGGCTGGGCCATCATGAAGCAGGCATCTTGCACAGGTATTTGATCGGCAGCATCTTGATCTCGCCGCCATCCGTTTTGATCACACCTTCGATTCCGTCAATACTGAGCAGGGTGCCAGTCAGTTCTCTCTCGTCTCCAAGGATGACCTTGGCCTGGAAGAGAGGATGAGTGAGTGAGTGAGTGAGTTTGGTTTTACGCCGCTTTTAGCAATATTCCAGCAATATCACGGCGGGGGACACCAGAAATGGGCTTCACACATTGTACCCATGTCGGGATTCGAACCCGGGTCTTCAGCCTGACGATAAAACGCTTTAACCACTAGGCTACCCGAAAGCCCCTGGAAGAGAGGATGAAGTCACAGTTAGACTTACAAATATTCTGTCAGTAGGAAAAGTAAATCAGTATTTACTCAAACAAAATATTTGATTTATGGACACAAAAAATATAACAAATAATTTACATTTGCTTTAAAATTGTGCAGGGAGGATTGTTGGGATCTGCACGTCCCAGCCTACACGCAATGTCCTCATGTAGATATCAAACCCAGTGCCACAGGTCGGAATATCCATTCAGCGTAGTTCTTCCCTGGGGAAGGTTTGGCCTAGGTACTTGTTTTGTAGGGTTGTGCACCTTTGCAATGCCAGGATCTGCTTATTGTGTTCGGACCCCAGATTCACCCTGATTATGATTCTTTGTTTGTCTCTGTCATACACATTCTCACAGGTTTCACTGAAAGATCTGAATCATATTTAATTTCTTCCACATAAAGCTGACATACATAGAGAATACTACACTCATTCTCATTAGATACCATTTTTAAGAAACTCGTGAACTTTCTATGGTTTCTGACCGAGCGAAAGCGAGGTCAGATACCATAGAAAGTCCACTCGTTTCGTAAAAATGGTATCTAACGAGAATGAGTGGTATTTTATTTATTCCCCATGTTAAATATATATTTAAGTGTAAATACATAACAACTTTCGTTCGTTGACAGACCAAACTGAAACCGGTTGCAAAATCTGGTTGTGCATGAATATTGATATATGACCAAATATGGGCATTGTTGACATGTTTATGCATACGCATTAACAACATGCGCCTGCTGTTCTGTTTGCAAACAAACCAGCACCAACGCTCAAGATCCTTTTGGAAGAAATTCTTCAACTTATGGTAATTCAAGCGCCATGTTGTCAGTACGCAGGACACCGATAAGAAAATTTGAAATGTCACATTAGCGCCGCGCTTTGAATATCGGACCAACAGTCACACACATCGCACTGCCGGGGTCCCGTCTGTGCAATCAAAATGGTTCGGTTAGAGGGAAATCAGACTGTTCGCCAAAGACATTCATGTTAACTGTACCCCCCTTTATACTGAAGACGTGAAAATCAACAAACTCAAATCTGCTTGCATGTCAGTGACAGCTTCGAACGATCGAAGGGCAAGGTCGCCACCGGAATAAGAAAAGACAACCGCGATCCACTCACAGCGTTTTACGCTAGAGATAGGGAATGTTATTGTTCACATTTAGGATGTTTGGGGCCACAAAATCAGAAGTCAAGCACACTTCCACGGGGTTTTCGAATGATTTGTATCGGAACTGTGAACTTTAAGTGATCTGGTCATGCTGTCGTGTTCGTTCATTCATGAACAACACCTCCCGAAACAGCGCCACAAAATACGCTTCAAAGGGGACACCGATGGCACAACCAGATCATCCCAAGTAAGTCTATATATCTGTCCAGATAGTTTAAACAGACTTAATTTCACCACGCTTATCCTTTTACGTTAAATCAAATTGAAAGTTGCGAAAATGGTCGGGTGCGTCATGCTCAAGGGACGCGCTGGATCGGAAGTCGTACATTGTAAATCGATTTATAGATCTAGCTCGATTATATGTCTGTAGGATCTCTATGCATAACTTATATAGAATGCAAACCGAATTTGATGCGTGTGACTATCTTGTTTGGTTTAATAAAGTGTTTGTAAATATCTCTCGTTCTCATGAATTTCTTCAGTTCTGCTTGGTAATCGCAAAATGAATGACGTCTCGCGATTTTTTATGGATGAAAAAAGTAGTCCCGGTGTGACAGAGGTCACGGTTATCCAATCAAAATGAATAAAACAAGGTCAACCTTGTACGACACACGTGTGACGTACAGATTCACACATTGTACCCATGTCGGGAATCGAACCCGGGTCTTCAGCGTGACGAGCGAATGCTTTAACCACTAGGCTACCCGACCGCCCCAATGACCACAAAGCAAATATGAAGTAGGTCTAACAAATTTAGCTCACCTTGTCCTGTTTTTCAGGCTGCACAGGTTCCAGGTGCTCACAGGACACGTTGACGACCTTGTCTTCATCCGTGATGTACACAGAACACATCCCTCCCTGGCAGCAAACAAACAGTTCAGACAATCAACTTCATTACACGAAGCCTAAACACTGATACAAGCTACACATTACAGGTGCAGTGACATCATGGGTACTTCAAATGGCACTAGGACATCTTCATGATTAGATATATCGATTGGACAGAAACACAAATCAAATTTCCAGTTGACAAACAAAGCAATTAAGCTGATGAAAAGCCTTTCGTTTCTTATCCTTTAACATAATGACCAGTCGCTTGTGAGTATAGAGAGTTCTGGGAACAGGCTCTGTGAGAAGCTTGGTTGCCAAGCACAGTGGAGAATTCTGACTGGCTGCAGCAATAGAGTTGAGAGCTCCAGGAACAGGCTGTAACTGTGAAGAGCTTGGCTGTAGGCCGCCAAGCACAGTGAAAAAGCTCTTACTGGTGTAACTCTGACTGGCTGCAGCAATAGAGTTGAGAGCTCCAGGAACAGGCTGTAACTGTGAAGAGCTTGGCTGTAGGCCGCCAAGCACAGTGAAAAAGCTCTGACTGGTGTAACTCTGACTGGCTGCAGCAATAGAGTTGAGAGCTCCAGGAACAGGCTGTAACTGTGAAGAGCTTGGCTGTAGGCCGCCAAGCACAGTGAAAAAGCTCTGACTGGTGTAACTCTGACTGGCTGCAGCAATAGAGTTGAGAGCTCCAGGAACAGGCTGTAACTGTGAAGAGCTTGGCTGTAGGCCGCCAAGCACAGTGAAAAAGCTCTGACTGGTGTAACTCTGACTGGCTGCAGCAATAGAGTTGAGAGCTCCAGGCACAGGCTGTAACTGTGAGGAGCTTGGCTGTAGGCCGCCAAGCACAGTGAAAAAGCTCTTACTGGTGTAACTCTGACTGGCTGCAGCAATAGAGTTGAGAGCTCCAGGAACAGGCTGTAACTGTGAAGAGCTTGGCTGTAGGCCGCCAAGCACAGTGAAAAAGCTCTTACTGGTGTAACTCTGACTGGCTGCAGCAATAGAGTTGAGAGCTCCAGGAACAGCCTATAACTGTGAGGAGCTCGGTTGTAGGCCAAATGCAATGCCCTATTGGGTGTTACTTCATTCAGAGTGGAAGTTCTAGTTTAGCACTGACCTCAGTATTGGAGTTAGGAATGGATTGGAGGAGGAGTTGAGTGGTTGCTACTTACAGTGACGCTCCTGATCTCCCCGGTCTGGAAGATGAGGTTGGGATCATCGTGGGTCTCCTTGATCTTCACCATGATGTCCTGCGTGTGCCAGTCAGCCATACTGTGGTCCATGGCTGTCACAGGCAAACACACGTAAGACGAGCAGAGGCGCTTTTACATTAGATGTTGTCATAGTTTTTGTGTGTCCTTTAATGCCTCACTCAGCAATATTCCAGCTACAGTAAACTACTGTTATAACGAACTCAAAGGGACCACTAATTTTAGTTTGTTATAACCATAGTTCGTTATTAGCAGATATACAGCATATATACAACAAAAGGCCGGAACTAAAAAATAAGTTCATTATATCGGTCAGTTTGTTATAAGCGTGTTCGTTATAACCTTGGTTTACTGTATATGACAGCAGCCTACATATAATTGTGTTTTGACCAGACAATCAGGTGATTGATATTATGAGCACTGACCCACACCGCCAGGGTACCATGACACAATCAACCATGTCAGAGAGCTTGATCTCCCAATCCATAAAATCACCTCCTATGACCAACAGTTTGGTGGTGACAAATTTTAACCCAGAATCCCCGAAGGGCAATATTTGGTTGTAATCTCAACACCAAAATAAAACCGGACCCGTGAAGATCCGGGGTAGAATAGGTCTTCAGCAACCCATGCTTGCCATAAAAGGCGACTATGCTTGTCGTAAAAGGCGACTAACGGGATCGGGTGGTCAGGCTCGCTGACTTGGTTGATGCATGTCATCGATCCAAATCGCGTGGATCGATGCTCATGATGTCAATCACTGTATTGTCTGGTCCAGACTCGATTATTTACAGACCGCTGTCATATAGCTGGAATATTGCTGAGTGCGGCGTAAAACAACGAACCAACCAAAATAGCAAAATGTGTACAACTAACACATGCATCCAGTACCTTGTCTGATTCATGGTCAGACCCCAATGTCACATGGATGTGATGTCAAAGGATACTGTCAGTCATATCTTGAGATTCATCTTCCATCCCCATCTGCACCCTTTGCTTCCAATATTTTTAGGCTTTAGACAATGATATGTAAATCTCAAAACATCATTTTTTTACTTCTTTAGGAAGTGATTTATATATGTGAGTTTGAAACTTCTCGACATCATCACATGCCTACCTGTGCCTGGTGTCTGTGGAGTGAACGGAGCCCCTGGGGTCATGGGGCTGTAACCCATGGGCGAGGGCGTGCCTGCGTAACCCCCGGGGGACGGGCTGCCCTGGTACCCGGCAGGGCTGGGGGTGCCTACATAGCCAGGACTAGGAGCTGCAACAGAGAAAGATGGCAGTGAAGCAACAGACATTTGTCAGCAACTCACAAAGCTACAGTCATTAAATAATCCAGTCAGGGCCAGACTGCCTCCATGGTCTAGTGGTAGAGCTTCCGACCGGTGAGAGGAAGGTCGGGGGTTCGATCCCCGGCCGTATCATACCAAAAGACATAAAAACATGGTACTTGTTGTTACCCTGTCTGGCACACCGCATTAAGGGGCTAAAACAAGTACTGGTCGGCTCGGAGTCAGTATACTGTGTCTGAGTGGGGCATTCATGTTAAACTGAGCCATGGTATCTCAGAGGGCTAGCACTATAAATCTGCACCAGTCCAGACAAGCAGCAACACACACATGCATGAACTTTGCTATATAAGTGCAATAATCTTGGACGCGGCGTTAAACCCCATTTCACCTCAACTCAAGTCCTTCCAGACAAACATATGACAGATTGATAGCAGAAGCAATGTTCCAGTCAAGGCAGGTGCCATCAAGCTGAAAGGGACATTTCACTCACCCTGGTAGCTGGCTGGAGAGGGGGAGGCCTGGTGGTAGGGGGAGTAAGCACTGCCTGGAGTCTGGGGGGTGTAGGGCCCCATGGGGCTGGGTGTGTCCGCCTGGTACCCAGGGGTGCCTGGGTTCGGAGTCGTGGCATAGTCAGCTGGAGAGGGTGACTCATCAAAGTTGAAGTCAAATTCATTTGGTCTGAAACAATGACAAACAATATTGCAAATTATCAGTCAACAATTACTTAGAACAAACAGTTCTTACCATTTTCAGTATTATTGTTATTAAATCGTGTCAACAAATTATACGCCAAAAACATTTTGAAGAGAGAGAACAATGCTTAACGTCCCAGTCAACAATAACCAACCTAGATCATGTAGATTACAATGGCCAGTAAATAATCAAGTCTTTGCCTTAAAAAACCAGTGCCAGTGACAAAACTGTTTTTCGCAAGTTCACATTCACAAACTGATCTTTGTAGATATTAATTGGTAAACTGAATTTTGTCATGTGAAACCACCTTAAGACATCAAGCAAACACTCTAATACACTAAAACATCCCCATCTTAACATGGCACTAAACACAAGGGTACCAAAACATCCCCATCTTAACGTGGCACTAAACACTAGGGTACCAAAACATCCCCATCTTAACTTGGCACTAAACACTAGGGTACCCAAACATCCCAACCTTAACATGGCACTAAACACAAGGGTACCAAAACATCCCCATCTTAACGTGGCACTAAACACTAGGGTACCAAAACATCCCCATCTTAACGTGGCACTAAACACAAGGGTACCAAAACATCCCCATCTTAACGTGGCACTAAACACTAGGGTACCAAAACATCCACATCTTAACATGGTACTAAACACTAGGGTACCATAACATCCCAACCTTAACATGGCACTAAACACTAGGGTACCCAAACATCCCCATCTTAACGTGGCACTAAACACTAGGGTACCAAAACATCCACATCTTAACATGGTACTAAACACTAGGGTACCATAACATCCCTATCTTAACATTGCACTAAACACTAGGGCATCCAAACATCCCCATCTTGAAAAGGCAATAAACATTTTGGTTTCCAAACATCCCCATCTTAACTTGGCACTAAACACCAGGGTACCCAAACATCCCAATCTTAACATGACACTAAACACTAGGGCATCCAAACATCCCCATCTTGAAGAGGCAATAAACATTTGGGTATCCAAACATCCCCATCTTAACATGGCACTGAACACCAGGGTACCCAAACATCCGCATCTTAACAAGACACTAAACACTACGTAAGATATCGGTTCTGACCTGGATGGCGTGTTAGCACTGGAGGGGTCCCAAGCGGATGATCCCGGGGTGCGGCTGCCTGGCTCATGGGATGGTGTCTGACTTCCATAGTGAGGCGTTCTGCTCCCATCCTGCACTGGTGTCTGTGAACCGTACATGGGAGTTCTGGAGCCACCATACATAGGCGTCTGGCCACCATACATGGGCGTCTTCTGGTAGCTGGAAGTGAAACCACCGACCTTCTGCCCACTGTGAAGAAAAGGAAAGAAAAAATTGGATAAAAAATCCCTCTCACACAACGAAATGTGCTAAGAAGTGATGATCAACTAAATTCTTTAATGATATCATTCATTATTGCAAGACAAAAGCTGAGGGCAAAATAATTCAATTATTAACCATTATGATGACGTCCTACTATTGCAACTATAGGTCATTATGAAAATTTATCCAGAAATTATATATCAACCATTACATGGTTAAAGTCAGAGAAATCACTCGAATAGGTTGATTCTGGAAGTAGAATCAATGGGTCCTGGGCCCACTTGCACAAAGCGATCTTAGAGCTAAGACTATCGTAAGCCAATGTTAAAGTATGGGAGTTACAACCATCTTAGCGCTAAGATCGCTTTGTGCAAGTTGGCCCTGAATGTTTATTCTACTTCCGGAATCAACGTTCTCATGATTTCTCCATTACGAACATCAAACTTTCCTATACACAAACTAACAAATGTCAGGCACATCAAAGGAACAGGGACATGTTGCAATGTAAATGGGAACTGTGGGACATGTTGCAATGTAAATGGGAACTGTGAGAGTGAATGTTGTTTTACGCTGGAGTCGGCAATATTCCAGTTAGCCTGCCTTCATGAGTGAGTGAGTGAGTTGGGTTTAACACCGCTTTTAACAGTATTCCAGTTATATCACGGCGTGTCAGCTTAATGTGGGAGGAAAGCCCCAAGTGATGCAGGTCTCAGACATTTACCACTTCGGTTAAACCCACGAGCACGGGTATGGTGCTGACAAACCTAGAAACATAATTGGGGCGAACCGGGATTCGAACCCAAAATCATAGGTTTCTGGCGTGCCTAAGGGACGCAACTCTGCACAGCGAATCGCGGCGCCTTAGACGACTGGGCCACCCATGCCCCCCCCCGCCTTCATGACGTACAAGGGCTAATGCAGGTGTAGATTTAACAACAAACTTGTATGTAGCCGGCAGGACTTGCTCCTTTTAAGTTACTGGCCCTTCTCTAAACTAACTGGCCTACAACCAAATGGTGGAGGCCGCGAAGTGGTCAAACCTGAGATCGCGTAGCCAACCAGCAGGGCTTTGAAAATGTTGGAATTCCTCACCCCTACAACGATTTTTTTCCTGCATTCCGAGATTAAATCTTAGCTTCCGTTTGCCTAATTCATGGCGATTTATGAGCAAATAATGATGTTGTTGTACACACCATTACAACTAGGGGGCTGGTTGTCATCCAATTAAATAAATTAAATATGCACAGAGAAGGGTTTAATTCTGACTAGCCCGATGAGCCATCTACTTTACGTTTCAGCAAGCCCTTTATAATTTTTACTGGCCACGGGCCAATGGGCCAGCAGTTAAATTGACCCGTCTCATGGGACTGCCCATGGCTGCCATCAAGGTAAAAGATACAGCAGCTTGTACTGACGTGAGTGTGGCGAGTCGACTCCTGTCTACAGAGATGGTCTTGCAGCTGGCATGTAGCTCCACTCTTGCTGTTGATTCGGTCGCATCCTTCACAATACCAATATAACCTGCACAGAAAAACATCTGGTCAAACCAACTAGTCAAACACATCAAACACACTTACCGGTATACCCAAAGGATTCAATTAAGAATTGACTTCAATATTTTTTGTGTTATTGGATATATAAACATGAAAAAAAGGTGCAGATTTACACACCAAGTGTTTTTCATGTTCATAAATCTTTAAACATAAAAACATTCTGCAATCAATTCTTATGGATAAATATGATAACAATAATAGTGAGTGAGTTGGGTTTAATACTTTTAACAGTATTCCAGTTATATCACGGCGTGTCAGCTTAATGTGGGAGGAAAGCCCGAAGTGATGCAGGTCTCGGACGTTTACCACTTTGGTGAAACCCACGAGCACGGGTATGGTGCTGACAAACCCAGAAACATAACCGGGATTCGAACCCACAATCATAGGTTTCTGGCGTGCCCAAGGGACGCAACTCTGCACAGAGAATCGCAGCGCCTTAGACGACTGGGCCACCTGATAACAATAAAAACTTTACAGACTGCTTACTTAATTATTAGAAAAACAAACAACTTCAGAAAACACTTTGAAACCATGACATCATTAGCGCAATAATGCAACGCAAGCAATTATCAACTAATCAAGAGACAGTTGTCCGTTAGTAGGTGTGGGTTTATGGACAAAGAAAATTTCTTGGTTAGTGAATCAAAATCCACGGAATCACTTTCTTTATGATCAAATGAAACAATGACAAAAGCTTAACCAGAAAACACATAATGTTTAGCAACATTGTGAACAAAACGAATTCAATTATATTCAACATTCTTTATGTACATGACCTAAACATGCTAAACAACTACACACAAAAAAAACATTTCGGGAAAGCCACATGGAGGAGACATCCACCTACCCTTGAAGGGGCCCTGTCTCACTCGGACGGTCTGTCCAATAAGCTCTCGGTCTCTCTTACTGATGCCGCCACGCCCTCTACCCGCGCCCCCTTGGCCCCCGCCCCCGCCCCCACCACTTGGGTGGGCGGGGCTGGCCAAACGGGGAGACATTGGCACAAATCCTCCAGCACTAAAGCTGGTGTTGCTTTGCTGCAATTGAAAAGAATGAGGAGATTCCAGCATCACTGAATGATACATTCACTGAATTACAGGTTTCAATCAGAGTGAGTGGGTATGGTTTTACGCCGCTTTTAGCAATATTCCAGCAATATCACAGCGGGGGACACCAGAAATGGGCTTCACACATTGTACCCATGTCAGGAATCGAACCCAGGTCTTCGGCGTGACGAGCGAACGCTTTAACCACTAGGCTACACGACCGCCGCTGGTTACAATCAGAAGTGTATGGAAGTCACACAACCAATTTTGCAGCAACGTTTAAACACTAGCATGCAAGAGTTATATCTGCTCACAAATAGTACCATATTCCACGTAATAAGCGCCCCGCTCTAATAAGCACCCACGGTGTTATTTGTTAATATATTGGCTAGTGAACAATCCCAATTGGCACCCCTTCCGATTGATCAATGTACACAAGACTTTTTTACTTGTGTGTAATATGCACCCTTAATTATGGGCAATTAAATTCTGGAAAAATGTGTTGGTCGTGTATAATATGCACAGACTTTTCTTTTGTATCATTCAGGCTGTCAGCATAAACTACCAAAATTACAATCTTTCAACTCTGTTTTTTTTTCACTAAAATAATATTCTAATAAGAGCCCCCTATTTCTAATTTTAAGAGCGCCCTGGGAGCTTATTACATCAAATACAGTATTACTTCATGGTATGACATATTTAATACATGTGCAAACAATATGTATATATACTGCATGCAAATGAACCCTTGGCCAAGTGGCCTATATTCATGAATAAACTTCTCATAAAGTATAACAAATATCTTTCATGTTCACTTATTGAACATTCTTGAAAAGTATTTTTGAAATCTACATGACATTTAGTCAAGATGTCATTACAAAATTTAAACCACAATTCCTCGCAACAATCCCTATTTTTTGCAGAGGTATTTTTTTACAAATCGTTGCCTACCCGTGATCCTCCTGCTAGCACAAGATGGCGAGTCCGGCACACGAAGTAACCACCATTTTCTGTCACCATTCTCGACATGAGGAATGCGTAGCTGCGGTACAGATGTTTGATCTCCCCAGATCGGCCCTGAAACACAACCATGTCATGACATTAACACACCGGCCCTGAAACACAACAATGTCATGACATTAACACATCGGCCCTGAAACACAACAATGTCATGCCATTAACACATCGGCCCTGAAACACAACAATGTCATGACATTAACACATTGGCCCTGAAACACAACAATGTCATGACATTAACACATCGGCCCTGAAAGACAACAATGCCATGACATTAACGCATCGGCCCTGAAACACAAAAATGTCATGACATTAACACATCGGCCCTGAAACACAACCATGTCATGACATTAACACATGGGCCCTGAAACACAACCATTTCATGACATTAACACATCGGCCCTGAAACACAACAATGACATGACATTAACACATCGGCCCTGAAACACAACCATGTCATGACATTAACACATCGGCCCTGAAACACAACAATGTCATGACATTAACACATCGGCCCTGAAACACAACAATGACATGACATTAACACATCGGCCCTGAAACACAACCATGTCATGACATTAACACATCGGCCCTGAAACACAACAATGTCATGACATTAACGCATTGGCCCTGAAACACAACAATGTCATGACATTAACACATCGGCCCTGAAACACAACAATGTCATGACATTAACACATCGGCCCTGAAACACAACCATGTCATGACATTAAGACATCGGCCCTGAAACACAACAATGTCATGACATTAACGCATCGGCCCTGAAACACAACAATGTCATGACATTAACACATCGGCCCTGAAACACAACCATGTCATGACATTAACACATCGGCCCTGAAACACAACAATGTCATGACATTAACGAATCGGCCCTGAAACACAACAATGTCATGACATTAAGACATCGGCCCTGAAACACAACAATGTCATGACATTAACACATCGGCCCTGAAACACAACAATGTCATGACATTAACGCATCGGCCCTGAAACACAACCATGTCATGACATTGACACATCGGCCCTGAAACACAACCATATCATGACATTAACACATCGGCCCTGAAACACAACAATGTCATGACATTAACACATCGGCCCTGAAACACAACAATGTCATGACATTAACACATCGGCCCTGAAACACAACAATGTCATGACATTAACGCATCGGCCCTGAAACACAACAATGTCATGACATTAAGGCATCGGCCCTGAAACACAACAATGTCATGACATTAACGCATCGGCCCTGAAGCACAACAATGTCATGACACTAACCACACCGGCCCTGAAACACAACAATGTTACGACATCTCGCCAGACTGACCCAGAAACACAATGTCATGATATCTCTCCAAACCAGTCTATTATTTCTCAATGTTAAACACAATTCAGGAACTCTAAACACTAAAAAGTCCCATGTTCATTCCCAAACAATCGACAAAACATCAAGTTCCACCTACTGACTGAGGTCCATCGATGACCTTGACAATGTCCTTGACCTGAATGTTATTGTTCTCGGAGTCCAGGGCGACTGCGTTCCGTGTGTCCTTCTTCCTAGTCAAGGACTGGGGCTTTAAGTTCTGTACCTAGAAAGTGGACGACACATTGTTTCTAAAGCCACATCTCACACAGGGTTTCAAATCACAAGGTCATGCTGACCATACATTTTGGGTGTTCAGATATGATGCTTTTGAGAAAGTCTCACTAGATTGTCTATTCACATTATATATATCAAAATAGAGTTGATTTCAGTTGCAAATAGCTTGTCTGCAACTTATTCCCTTGGGTTTCATTTGAGCATTGTTACAGCCTGCCAACACTTACGACAAACAATCAATCAGGATAATACATGTTGATATCTTTTGGTATCAAACACGTAAATAAGAATGGGCTGAAAATGCCATTACTGCAGCATTGGGTAGTTATCTTCCCAACAAACCTTGTTGTGTATGCTAGGGTAGATATCTCCCCAACTGACCTTGTTCTGCATGCTAGAGTAGTTATCTCCCCTACTGACTTTGTTGTACATGCTAGAGTAGTTATCTCCCCTACTGACTTTGTTGTACATGCTAGAGTAGTTATCTCCCCTACTGACCTTGTGAAGGCTTGAGTAGTATTCTTCCCTACTGACCTTGTTCTGCATGTTAGAGTAGTTATCTCCCCAAATGACCTTGTTGTACATGCTAGAGTAGTTATCTCCCCTACTGACCTTGTCATGCATGTTACAGTAGTTATCTACCCTACTGACCTTCTTGTACATGCTCGAGTAGTTTTCTCCCCTCCTGACCTTGTCATGCATGTGACAGTAGTTATCTCCCCTACTGACCTTATTGGGCATGCTTAAGTAGTTATCTCCCCTACTGACCTTGTTATGCATGCTGAGCACCTGGAAGTTCTCCTTCTCCAACCTCACAATGGCTCCCACTGTCTGGGCACTGCAACAAATGGACATGTTACCACTCATTGGTTGGACCAGGCAACAGGCACAAGGACACGTTACAACATTGAAACAGTAGTCAGTTATTTCATCAGCCTTTCAGCTTATTGTGGATCACAAGTCGCTGCCATTTTCCACTTTAGTGATGAGATGATATGGATGCAACTGGACGTGGACTTAAGTATCCAATGTGAGAACATCACAGTGGCTGCCTTACTCTACACACAATGTGAGAACATCACAGTGGCTGCCTTACTCCACACACAATGTGAGAACATCACAGTGGCTGCCTTACTCCACACACAATGTGAGAACATCACAGTGGCTGCCTTACTCTACACACAATGTGAGAACATCACAGTGGCTGCCTTACTCTACACACAATGTGAGAACATCACAGTGGCTGCCTTACTCCACACACAATGTGAGAACATCACAGTGGCTGCCTTACTCTACACACAATGTGAGAACATCACAGTGGCTGCCTTACTCCACACACAATGTGAGAACATCACAGTGGCTGCCTTACTCCACACACAATGTGAGAACATCACAGTGGCTGCCTTACTCCACACACAATGTGAGAACATCACAGTGGCTGCCTTACTCTACACACAATGTGAGAACATCACAGTGGCTGCCTTACTCCACACACAATGTGAGAACATCACAGTGGCTGCCTTACTCCACACACAATGTGAGAACATCACAGTGGCTGCCTTACTCCACACACAATGTGAGAACATCACAGTGGCTGCCTTACTCCACACACAATGTGAGAACATCACAGTGGCTGCCTTACTCCACACACAATGTGAGAACATCACAGTGGCTGCCTTACTCCACACACAATGTGAGAACATCACAGTGGCTGCCTTACTCTACACACAATGTGAGAACATCACAGTGGCTGCCTTACTCCACACACAATGTGAGAACATCACAGTGGCTGCCTTACTCTACACACAATGTGAGAACATCACAGTGGCTGCCTTACTCCACACACAATGTGAGAACATCACAGTGGCTGCCTTACTCCACACACAATGTGAGAACATCACAGTGGCTGCCTTACTCCACACACAATGTGAGAACATCACAGTGGCTGCCTTACTCTACACACAATGTGAGAACATCACAGTGGCTGCCTTACTCCACACACAATGTGAGAACATCACAGTGGCTGCCTTACTCCACACACAATGTGAGAACATCACAGTGGCTGCCTTACTCCACACACAATGTGAGAACATCACAGTGGCTGCCTTACTCTACACACAATGTGAGAACATCACAGTGGCTGCCTTACTCCACACACAATGTGAGAACATCACAGTGGCTGCCTTACTCCACACACAATGTGAGAACATCACAGTGGCTGCCTTACTCCACACACAATGTGAGAACATCACAGTGGCTGCCTTACTCCACACACAATGTGAGAACATCACAGTGGCTGCCTTACTTCACACACAATGTGAGAACATCACAGTGGCTGCCTTACTCCACACACAATGTGAGAACATCACAGTGGCTGCCTTACTCTACACACAATGTGAGAACATCACAGTGGCTGCCTTACTCCACACACAATGTGAGAACATCACAGTGGCTGCCTTACTCTACACACAATGTTAGAACATCACAGTGGCTGCCTTACTCCACACACAATGTGAGAACATCACAGTGGCTGCCTTACTCCACACACAATGTGAGAACATCACAGTGGCTGCCTTACTCCACACACAATGTGAGAACATCACAGTGGCTGCCTTACTCCACACACAATGTGAGAACATCACAGTGGCTGCCTTACTCCACACACAATGTGAGAACATCACAGTGGCTGCCTTACTCCACACACAATGTGAGAACATCACAGTGGCTGCCTTACTCCACACACAATGTGAGAACATCACAGTGGCTGCCTTACTCCACACACAATGTGAGAACATCACAGTGGCTGCCTTACTCCACACACAATGTGAGAACATCACAGTGGCTGCCTTACTCTACACACAATGTGAGAACATCACAGTGGCTGCCTTACTCCACACACAATGTGAGAACATCACAGTGGCTGCCTTACTCCACACACAATGTGAGAACATCACAGTGGCTGCCTTACTCTACACACAATGTGAGAACATCACAGTGGCTGCCTTACTCCACACACAATGTTAGAACATCACAGTGGCTGCCTTACTCTATCATGACCAGGTCCCCAAACTGGTACTGTCCCAGCGAGTCAACTCCTGTGGCCATATCAGTACACAGCTGTAGATCTTTAGGCAACACTTTCAGCTGAAACACACAACCAAACAAGTCAAACCTACTACCCAACACTCGAAAAAAAAAAATCCAATTTGAAATCAATATTATTTACAATTAATCACACAACTGATATGAATTTGGAAAAGTACCATGTACTAATACTTATTTTCAAAATATCTGTGGACTGTTATACAGACTCATGACCACCATGACAGCTCGGCCTGTGGGCAGCTTGGACATGATGTGGCCACTAAATATAACCACTAGGGCTGTTACTCGCGTATTTGGTGAAACGAACCGTAACCATTCATGAATCGAATTCGTTATTCATGGCCACTAGAATCGAATATTTATGAATATGCTATCATGTATATTTACATACCCTGTACCTAAAAATATCCATAACAACATATTATATGCATAGATTTCTTTCAATGACAACACTCTAATAATATTTAATTTGATAGTATTGTTTTCACTGGTCATTGTCGCATTTGAGCAGATACTAGTACCTGGATAAGTGCAGTATATAAATGTAAAATTTATTAATAATTAACAAACCATGTCAAATAAATTATGATGTTATTGTTTCACTGAATATAATAAATAATACATAAACTGCTGACTTGTTATTGTAATTGTGAATTAACATTCGTATTCGTTACCCTATATTCGTGATATGAATCGTATTCGCCTCAGTGTATTCGTTGCAGCCCTAATAACCACCCAGATCTAAGTACGTCCTCACCTCGTGCATGGTGAGATCAGAGAAGAGGACCACCATGTTGTCCTCCACCCTCACGATGAGTCCTGTGTCTCCTTCGTACCGTCCTCCGATGACCTTCACATGGTCCCCCATCTTGAAGTACTTCTGCAGCTCGTGGGCTGGGAACTCAAGTGGATCCTGGAAAAAATTATGTGTCCCATGATAAATACTCTTAATCCCATGCTATAACACAATGATTTATCACACCTCCATGTCAGAATTGATTAGATCAGATTGGTTCACGAGATCTTGATAAAATATTATGTATCCCGCCTCGGAGGGAAATATATAAGAATAAATCCCTTCTACCCCGCAACAAGCAAGACAGGCTGCACATGGATTTGAGAGGCAGAATATATCCCTTAAACTAAACTGAACAGCTGTTTTTTATCAATTTTGAATTTGTTTTAATTCTTTTACGATGTCATATTTCAACAAGTTGGTAAGACAAATTCATTGTAGCAGGATCACTTGGAGTACATTGGCTCCAGCTTGTGGCATAAAACACCATGTACCCCTTGTGATCCTGCTTCAACTTACCGTATTCGACGTAATAAGCGCCCAGGGCGGACTCAAAATTAGAAATAGGGGGCTCTTATTAGAATATTATTTTGGTGGAAAAACAGAGTTGAAAGATAAATTTCGTGGTTTATGCTGACGGCCTGACTGTTTATATACGACAGAAATATTTTTCCCGAATTTAATTGCCCATAATTAAGGGTGCATATAACACACGAGTGGGTATTATACACTAATAAATAAGTCTTGTGTACATTGATCAATCGGAAGGGGTGCTAATTGGGATTGTTCACTTGCCGATATATTAGCAATATCGCTGTGGGCGCTTATTAGAGCAGGGCGCTTATAACGTCGAAAACGGTATATTATAGCATTCAGGTAAAGCAGTTCATTGGGGTATCACTGTGATACAGTTGTCTGCATGTGCTCCTCACCTTCAGGTCCTCGTGTTTGGGCATGATGGTGATCTTGTTGCCCTCCGTGCGGATGACACGTCCCTGCAGATGCACCAACTCCCCCTCGCACACCTCCACCACGTCCCCGGGGGCCAGGTTGTGGGTGACCTCCGACGTCGATGACTTCTTCTGGGGTACCACTTGGCGGTGTTAAGGTGTACTGACATTCCAGGCTACAACAGGATTTACCTACGTTCTCTTCAGCAGTGAGAGCGTGAATGTTTGATCTACACTGTAGCCAATGATCTTACAGCTACAAAACAGCAGTCGGACAATAATCCAACCTGGCAAACTAGTGGTTGACAGTATGAGCATCTGAAATTGACACAAAATCAGCCTAGCCACACTTTTGTTTGTTTGTTGTTTCATGCCAGTCAGCAATTCCAGGAACATCATGACAAACCTGTGGTTGATATTATGAGCAACGTCCAATGCTTTTCGAGTATGATAACACACAACAGTCTTACTACAAGCAGTGATGGGGCTGATTCTAGCTCAGGTACCTGCGATTTACCTACATTGTATCTCCCCAACACATATTTTGAAACTGGCAGAGCTTGAATGACAGAAGGATACAATCAACATCAAGACCTTCCGGTGTGTTGTCAAACCTCTCCAGCTCAGACAGTGTTGGCTTCACTCCATCAGGAATCTGTCAACGATATAAAACACTCATTACAATCTCATATGATTGGCTCCAGAGTGAAAGAATGAGTGAGTGAGTGAGTGAGTATGGTTTTATTCCAGAAATAGGGACGTATATTTAAGTTTGGTTATAGGTCATGTACTAGGTCTGTAATGATGCACTGAAGTATCGTTATAGGTCATGCTTTGTTTGTTGTTTAACGCCGCACTCTGCAATATTCCAGCAATATGACGGTGGTCTGTAAATAATCAAGTCTGGACCAGGCAATCCAGTGATTGACATCATGAGCATCGATCCAAGCAATTAGGATACGATGACATGCATCAACCAAGTCAGCAAGCCTGACCACCCGATCCCGTTAGTTGCCTCTTATGACAAGCATAGTTGCCTTTTACGGCAAGCATGGGTTGCTGAAGACCTATTCTACCCGGATATTCACGGGTCTTATAGATCATGCAATGATACCAAACAATTCAGATTCCTAGTCCGGCTCATTTAATGGACCAGATTACCACACTGGGCCTGTGTTGGTTATCAATCTCACATGAGCAGTTGATGGAGAGTATCGGTACTCACAATGGCCGACATGACGAAGCTCTTGAAGAGGAAACCTTTCCGGTTGTATCTGTTTCCCTCGAATATGAGGAAGTCTCCATCAGTTGACACATCGCCACCAATAGCCCTGCAAGTTTCATCACATCATAGGTTTTCAGACATCGGATGTTTTCGGACGGACATATTTATCGCAATTACTTACGCTATAACGGGTTGTGTAGCATCACACAGACATAGTAAATACCCAGATGTTGGCTTGTTTTTAAGAGAAAGTTGTCTTTTACAAGTGAATGAGATGTTTTACACTTGTTCATGTTATTAGAGAGAAAACTACGAATGTTTTTTAAGTTTTTTAAAAGCCCATAACACAGGGATAATACAGCCTCATCCATGCACACTTAAGATGATAGGCATACAAAACAACTGCTTCTGGTTAAAAACAAGTACACTCACTCGGTAGAAAAACTTAGTAACACTGAAAGTTATACTCATATTGGTAGTGTTGGTGACACAAACAGACTTGGTATAACAGCCATCAAACTTTTCTGCATTTTTTGGTCTTGGCAAACACAAGTTACAGTTATGTAGGGGTGTTTTACTGATACGAGCGATGTTGATGGTGTTGGTGGTGTTGATGATGCTGACACATTCATCAAGGAAAAGATCCAATATCTACCTGACACCATCAATATCGAACAGCTTCTGTGCGGGGCGACGCTTCCGTTTCTTGTTTCTCTCGGCCTCCTGACTGGCTGAGGTACGGAACACTCCGCGGGGCTTGGTGAAGTCGATACGTGGGATCAGCTTCAGGTGCACCACGTTCTGGGATGGCTCCACATAGTCCACCTGCAAACAGTGAGGAACATGGAGAGTATAATCTGAATGAGCTACTGACAAAAAAACACAGATAGTTTCACCAACCAAAGGCAACAAAGAGTTGGTTGGATCATGCTGCAGCCATATTCCAGCCCTATCATTACATCAGATATTTAATCCAGTCTATACCAGGGATACCAATGTTTAAAGCATTGGCAACTGTCGAGTCAGCCAGACAAGCATGGGGTTCTGGGGACCAATTCTACCCTGGAATTCTCATGGGGACAAGCATGGGGTACTGGGGACCTATTCTGCTCTGGAATTCTCACGGCAACAAGCATGGGCTTCTGGGGACATGTTCTACCCTGGAATTCTCATGGGGAAACAAGGGGTACTGGGGACCTATTCTGCCCTGGATCCTCATGGAGAGACAAGTAAGAGGTACTGTGGACCTATTCTGCCCTGGATCCTCATGGAAAGACAAGTAAGAGGTACTGTGGACCTATTCTACCCTGGATCTTCATGGAGAGACAAGTAAGAGGTACTGTGGACCTATTCTGCCCTGGATCCGCATGGAAAGACAAGTAAGAGGTACTGTGGACCTATTCTGCCCTGGATCCTCATGGGGAGACAAGGGGTACTGGGGACCTATTCTACCCTGGATCCTCATGGAAAGACAAGTAAGAGGTACTGTGGACCTATTCTACCCTGGATCCTCATGGAAAGACAAGTAAGAGGTACTGTGGACCTATTCTGCCCTTAATCCTCATGGAAAGACAAGTAAGAGGTACTGTGGACCTATTCTGCCCTGGATCCTCAAAGAGAGACAAGGGGTACTGGGGACCTATTCTAACATGGATCCTCAAAGAGAGACAAGGGGTACTGGGGACCTATTCTGCCCTGGATCCTCATGGAGAGACAAGGGGTACTGGGGACCTATTCTGCCCTGGATCCTCATGGAGAGACAAGTGTGGGGTACTGGGGACCTATTCTACCCTGGATCCTCATGGAGAGACAAGTGTGGGGTACTGCGGACCTATTCTACCCTGGAATTCTAATGGAGACAAGCATGGGGTACTGGGGTCCTATTCTACCCTGGATCCTCATGGAGAGACAAGTGTGGGGTACTGGGGACCTACTCTACCCTGGAATTCTCATGGAGACAAGCATGGGGTACTGGGGTCCTTTTCTACCCTGGGTTTCTCATGGAGAGACAAGCATAGGGTACTGGGGATCTATTCTACCCTGGAATTCTCATGGAGACAAGCATGGGGTACTGGGGTCCTTTTCTACCCTGGAATTCTCATGGAGACAAGCATGGGGTACTGGGGTCCTTTTCTACCCTTGGTTTCCCATGGAGAGACAAGCATAGGGTACTGGGGACCTATTCTACCCTGGAATTCTCATGGGGACAAGCATGGGGTACTGGGGACCTATTCTGCCCTGGATCCTCATGGAGAGACAAGTAAGGGGTACTGGGGACCTATTCTGCCCTGGATCCTCATGGAGAGCTTTAAGCTTTAAGTCTTAACCGTCTCGAGTCACGATGAAGAGACAAGCATGGCAAATGGGAACCTGACCCTGAATCCCAAATAAGCAACAATGAGACGGGGGATCCTCAGAGTCATTACCTAAACAGTAACCATGGTAACATACCTGAGCAAGATCATCCTTGAAGACACCTCTCTTGAGTCTGACCCAGGACTTGGACTTGAGGTTGGTGGTCTCCTTCACCACTTTCATGACGTCCGTCATCTCTTTGATGGGAACCATCTGTACATAGACATAATATTGTTCAGGAAAATAATGCTCACAAAAATCACAGCTATGACATCCAAAGTATATTGTCATCCTAAAGGCGTGGAGCTGGGCACCATGATGCATATCGGAGTATGCAACTCTACTTTGGAGGGGGTCTCACAGTGCCACTTGTAGCATGCAACTGAATCTCAATACAGACCCCTACCTGTGCCCAAGTCAAATGGATCACTTGTCCTATTTATGCGACAAAATGCCAGCAATCAACTAATCAAAATGGGTACTCGTGTATAGCTGACAAAGCTGACAACACTAGAGTTACCTCCCATGGTCTGAGAGACGACACTCATACAATTGTTGACGGTGCTATAAATCACCCAAGTTGCTTCTACAAACCCCCTTATCACATTTAAAGTGAATGTATGGGTAAGAAATATATGTACCAATACTAAATCAAGTAAATTGTTTTAATGTTTGAGGGGCAGTTGAATCAGAGAATGTACATGTTTTGCTTGTTGTTTAACGCCACACTCAGCAATATTCCAGCTATATGACTGTGTAAATAATCAAGTCAGCACCAGATAATCAACTGATTGACATCATGAGCATCGATCCACACAATTGGGATACGATGACATGCATCAACCAAGTTATCTAGCCTGACCACCCGATCCCTTTAGTCGCCTTACGACAAGCATAGTCACGGAAATATATGCACCAAAACTAAATCAAGTACATTGTTTAATGTTTGAGGGGAACAGTTTGGCACTTTAAGCAGGGAACATACATGTGGACAGGGAACATTGAAAATATCAGTACGGGTCTCAGCCAATCAGAATCCCACGTTCACGTTCAAGGTAAGATAAAAGTGTCCCCCACCTGCTGTTGCCATAGACCGATCCTGAGGTTGCCCACTCCCTCGATGGCCTGCTTGACGTGGGTCTGCTTGTACGCCTCGATGTAGATGTAGCCCTTCAAGCCCTCCTTGGCGATCACAGACTTGATTTGAAGTGGCTGGCGACATACACATTGATTTGTCATGAATGGGACACAAGTCTTATTACTGCATGGCGAAAACAGAACGATTAACATGAGCTTCCCTCCTGGGCCATGTTTTTACAAAGCGATATTAGTGCTACGTTGATCGTAAGCTTATGGTAAAGTATGGGAGTTACGACAAACTTAGCACTAAGATCGCTTTGTCGGCCCTGTTTTTTAGTTCCCGTTCAAGTGGTACTTTATTGATAGTCGCATAAATCAGTTGCAGACATGACTTGTTTGTTTTGTTACTTTTTTAACACTGCACTCATCATTCGTCTTGCTAAATGACGCAGGTCTGCAGAGAATCAATCTGTACCAGACAATCCAGTGATTGACTCAAGTACATCGATCTACGCAATTGGAATACAATCAACCAAATCAGCGCGAGACAAATTCTAACTCAGATCTTCAGGGGATCGTAGAATGAACCAATTTCATTCACCGGTCCTTTTGATCATATATATTGTAACAACTTCCAAGTTTTGGTACTCTCTGCCAGTCCTATGGATATGTTAACCACCGACTAGGATTACAGGCCTACAACCAATATCTAACCGGATGCTATTTTAATTAGGATAAACTTTGTTTCTTTGTCTGTTGTTCAACACCGCACTCAGCAATATTCCAGCTATATGACGGCAGTCTGTAAAATAATCGAGTCTGTACCAGACAATACAGTGATTAACATCATGAACATCGATCCACGCAATTGGGATCGATGATATGCATCAACCAAGTCAGCGAGCCTGACCACCCTATCATCGATTAACACAACTGAGATACAATGACATGCACCAACGAAGTCAGCAAGCCTGGCCAAAGAATCCTGTTAGTCACCTCTTACGACAAGCATAGTCGCCTCATACGACAAGCATGTGTTGCTGAAGACCTATTCTACCCCGAATCTTCCAGGACAGCACAAACACGTAGTCCTGGCAATCTATTCTATCCTTGGACTTACTGTGCATTCCCTTTTTAATGCCTCACCTCATCTGTGAACTGATAGGCAATAAACTTCCTCATGAGATGAATGACGGTGGACTTCTCCTCACCCATCCTGCACTTGACAACCCACAAGTTGGGGTCCCTGAAAGCCAATCACTAGCATCAGCATCTCTGTGACTATTGGTGTATGTGCTGTATAAAAGTGCTGAACACAACAAAAATGATGAAATCAATAAATTCAAGCATCAGCAACAAGGCACCTTGTATACATAAACATAATGACCTGTGAAATGTGATTCGAACCAACAGTACTCAGTCAACTAAATCTAGTTTGTTGTTAACTCCACCCTCTCAGTGTTCGCGTTAACGCAGAAACCAGCGTTTTTCACGCATTAAAATCATATAAACACGCAAAAAATATTTTGCGCGCATGTTTTGCATGCACAGATTGTGATATACTTAATTTTGTATTAATACCATAAAATAAAAAACTATTCAAAGCTGATAGCCTGCTTACGATGTTCAGACGAAAATAAATCAAAACCTGGAAATTCCCATTGCTAAAAATAGAATGTGGCCAGATGGCGCTTTGAATCGCGTCCTTTATATTTCCATATAGGGTCTTTGGGCAACGGAATAACTAATCTCAGACACAGGACGTCATTCGTTACTATCGATGGAATTCCCTGGAAGTCGTTTGTTTCATCCAATCAGAGCTCAGCTTACAAGTAATAGTTGGTAATACGAACGATCATAAACAGAGCGATGGAAGAAAACTTCCACACATGGCCATGTGCTAACAACAGTCATATTTATTTTATTAATGTTAGAACGTTCATTATATCAAAACTTGACCGTAAGTTAAAGCTTGGTCATAATTATTAGCTGTACTTGTACTGATTTTATTGAAATAAAAACTTCACACGCGAAATATTTGAATTGAAAATTTATTATTTCATTTCTGCACACACTGTACAAAAACCTACCGCGAACACTGCCCTCTGCAATATTCCAGCTATATGACAGTGGCCTGTAAATACTGTGAACAACGATCCACACCATTGGGGTACGATGACACGCTATCAACCAAGCCACCTAGCCTGACTACCTGATTCATTTGTCATCTCTTACAACCAGCATATGGAGCTACAGATAAGCTTCGCATTTGCGTAAAACTATTCAAACCCAATTACTTTCAATTAACTTGCGTGCAGAAACGCATGCGTTAAATGAAAAACTCAATTGTTTGAAACCAGCACGCGTAAATACCCAAAGACGCTTTTTCAGCACGCGTACAACAGAGCTAATTTCCGAAACACAATTACAAGCTAATTTACTTTCCGAGTCAAGCCTATATTTAGAACCATTATATACATCTAAAACATCATTTCATCTCAAAATGCTTACTCATTTTGGGAAAAAACAAATAGAGTGATGAACAGATGAGTGAGAAAATAATGGTTACCCAATGAAAAATGTAATAACCCAAATAAAATAGAAACCTTTGAGTAAAGACTCAATTGCTCAAAAAGTTATCTGGAGATCTGGAGATGGCTGGGGACCTTTTCCAACCCAGAATCCTCTATATCTGGAACATCTTCACCAATTACTGGACACGAGCAGTGACAGGAGAATCTTTCATCAACCAATAGAGTGTACTCTTCCAAACTCAAGTACCTTTTGGAACAAGCCATAAAAAGATTAATACCTTTCGGATACTAAGGAGAGAAAGGAGTACTTACTTAACGCCAGGCAGCAGACCCTGTTGTGTGATCTCGTCTGACATCTCCTCTCCCTCGCCGTACCTCTCTGCGGCAGGTGTCTCCCCATACTTCTGTCTGTAGTACTCCTCGATCTCATCCTCACGTTGGCTGCTGCTCACCACAGACAAACATGTATTAGACACACACTTTATTATTAGTTTGTTTGTTTGTTGTTTAACGCCGACCTCAGCAATATTCCAGCTATATGATGGCGGTCTGTAAATAATCGAGTCTGTACCAGACAATACAGTGATTAACATCATGAACATCGATCCACAGAATTGGGATCGATGACATGCATCAACCAAGTCAGGGGGCCTGACCACCCGATCCCATTAGTCGCCTTTTACGACAAGCATAGTCGCCTTTTACGACAAGCACAGTCGCCTTTTACGGCAAGCATGGGTTGCTGAAGACTTATTCTACCCCGGATCTTCACGGGTCTATATGAGGGCAGTCTGTTGATAATGGAGTCTGGAGCAGACAATAAAGTGATTGACATCATGAGCATTGATCGAGCATTGATCCACCCTGATCCACCCATTTGGAATACGATGACATGCATCAACCAAGTCAGCGAGCCTTACCATCCAATCCTGTTAGTCGCCTCTTATGACAAGCATGGGTTGCTGAAAACCTATTCTAACCCAGATCTTCACGGGTCACACACTTTAATAGACACACAGGATAAGACATAACTGCCCCAAACAGGGTTTTACCCGACGCACAAATGTGTGTCCAGTAGGGAATGGATGCAGAAATAAAAAATACTGCATCCCCAGGAAGGCACAATATTCAATGTACCTACAGCACATCAAGGTGAGGTGAGGTGAAATGGGGTTTAACGTCGCGTCCAAGATTATTGCACTTATATAGCGACATGCATGCACGTGTATGTGTGTGTGGCTGCTTGTACTAGTCCGGACTGATGCCGATTTATAGTGCTAGCACACTGAGATACCATGCCACAGTTTAACATGAATACCCCACTCAGACACAGTATACTGACTCCGAGCCGACCAGTCCTTGTTTTAGCCCCTTAATGCCGAGCGCCAGACAGGGTAACAACAAGTACCATCTTTTAACGTCTTTTTGGTATGACGCGGCTGGGGATCGAACCCCGGACCTTCCGCTCTCCGGGCGGACGCTCTACCACTAGACCACGGAGGCGGTCTTACAGCACATCAAGAACAGCCATGAGCATCTGTTATTTCGTCCATCAATCATTACTACTGTCAACTTATCATAGATTCATTACAGGCTCTAAAGTAATTCTCTAAACATACAGTACACCAAACCATTTCATCACTTTACAGGACCCTCTTCTTGATCGAAGGACCATTAAACTTAATTATAGGGGTCCCCTGGACCATCAGTTTTGTAAGTCAAGGTAAAACCCTGATCCCCAAACCTCAGTTCTATTTCACATATTATTTATCATTTCCAAGATTCAAATTCATTCGCGTAACATGACCTTAACCCACAGGTAATTCCAGGTCTCTAGCTGTATGTTCAAGGTAACCATGGCAACACTTACTCCCAAAGGTGCCGCAGCCTCTGATGGTTCTCCATCTCGCGTGCGCTGTTCCCATCCAGCATGGTCTTCTTGTCGATGATGTCCTCTGCGCCCTCCTCCCACTCCACGTCATCCTCTTCGTCGCCCTCATCATCAACATCTGAAGGAAAGAAGAAACACGCAATTTATTGAAATCTTATTATTTCCAGTGCCATATTACAGATAGGAGTTTCTGCTTCTTTGTATGAAAATTGAAGTCTAAAAACACGACACCAGGTTCTTCAACAGATTCATTAACACACATACACTCTCACCTGTAATTGTATATGAAGCATAAACAAAGTCGTGATTGACTGTGCTGTGTTAGAAATTGGCACTAGACCTGTAGTCCTTGCCATACTGCCCAATCATTAAGGGATCACAAGGACTAGTAGCCTTTTTCAAGGTTTTTGCTATATATTATCATTAGAGGTGAGGTGAAATGGGGTTTAACGTCATGTTCAAGATTATTGCACTTATATAGCGACATGCATGCAAGTGTGTGTGTGTGGCTGCTTGGACTAGTCCGGACTGATGCTGATTTATAGTGCTAGCACACTGAGATACCATGCCACAGTTTAACATGAATACCCCACTCAGACACAGTATACTGACTCCGAGCCGACCAGTCCTTGTGCCCCTTAATGCCGAGCACCAGGCTGGGTAACAACAAATACCATCTTTTAACGTCTTTTGGTATGACACGGTCGGGGATCGAACCCTGGACCTTTTGCTCTCCGGGCGGACGCTCTACCACTGGACCACGGAGGCGGTCTTATTATCATTAGAAGCACCAGTGGACTAAAAATGTTAATTTCTACTGCTGCTGTGGTATATTTCTGAAGAACATGGGCCTTACCTGTAGTCATACAGTTGACATAGCAACGAAACTGCTCTCTGAGCAGACACTTTATCCACTTAATCATGGAGGAAGTCTAGGCTTGATAAAGAAAAAAGTATTATTGACAGAATGTACACACCAGCCTCCTCAATGATGAATTTGCTGACTCTGGCACGTTTCTTTCTTCTCTGACGTTCATCTTCATCTTCGTCATATGCCTTGAAGACAAATTAGAAAACATGAACATCATAACCATGGCAACTGAAAAGTCACAAGCAGGATATGAATGACTCTGTTTACTGACATATACTGACAGGCATGCACTCTGTACATTTTCCGATTTCAGCTATGACAAGTATTTGTCACAAAGTGACGAAATGTCCCCCGCCTGTATATACACCATAGTACCAAATATGAAGACAATCCAGCGATTAGTTCTTGAGATATTGCGGTAACACCGTTTTCCAACTCCAAAAACAGATTTGCCTGCTGTGACCTTGAAAATGGGGTCAAGGTCACCAAAACCGACTGGTGTATGCGGTGTCTGTATATACACCATAGTTCCAAATATGAAGACAATCCAGTGTTTAGTTCTTGAGATATCGCGGCAACACCGTTTTCTAACTACAAAAGCAGATTTGCCTGCTGTGACCATGAAAATGGGGTCAAGGTCACCAAAACCTACTGGTGTCTGCGGAGTCTGTATATACACCATAGTTCCAAATATGAAAACAATCCAGTGTTTTGTTCTTCAGATATCGCTGCAACACCGTTTTCCAACTCCAAAAGCAGATTTGCCTGCTGTGACCTTGAAAATGGGGTCAAGGTCACCAAAACCGACTGGTGTCTGCGGAATTTGTATATACACCATAGTTCCAAATATGAAGACAATCCAATGTTTAGTTCTTGAGATATCGCGGCAATAAACAGGTGGGACGTACGGACGGTCGTGAATACTATATCCCCCGCTTCGCGCTTTCGCGCGGCGGGGGACAAAAACAGGCAAACAGTTTTTCAGAGAAGTATGATTTCAATAAATGCTGTGCACTGTTCATATCAGTATGATCAAAATTGTGTTAACAATGATAAGTTCCACAAGTAATTAGTTTCATCCAGAACAAATATTGCCAATGTAAATGTAACGTGGGAATAATTTCTTTACAGAAATATAATACAAAAGAACATTTTCACTACAGGAACAGATAACTCTTTGACATTTACACATCAACGTTTTACAAAAGACTGATAATGCTGATTGTCTCTTAAAAACTATACCAATCACCTGTCAAGGGTGATGTACAAATAAAAAATGTAAAAAGAAAGCTCCAAAGAAATCCCTACTACATCATCTTCTTCTTCCTCCCCCTCGTCCTTGTCGCTCCCTTCATCACTGCCACTTCCCCCGCCATCACTTCCCCCGCCATCACTCCCCCCTCCCTCACTGCCTCCCCTAGGACTCCCTGCAGGGCTCCCACTCCCCGCATCGCTGCCCGCATCACTTCCTCGACTCTGGTCCAGCTGACCGCCCTGGAAACAAAACAAGGATCATTTCTCCATTCTGTTGTTTTTGTTTATTGTCTATTTAATGCTGCACTCAGCAATATTCCAGCTACTGACAGCGATCTGTAAATAATCCAATCTGAACCAGACAATCCAGTGATGGATATCATGAGCATCGATCTACACAATTGGGACACGATGACATGCATCAACCAGGTCAGCAAATCTGATCCCATTAGTGCCTCTAACGACAAGCATGGGACTCTGAAGACCAATTTTAACAAGATCTTCATCAGGTTCTCCATTCCATTCAGCATTCTAAGGATACTGATCTTGTACACATATCCACTGTATAAGTTCCTTGAACTTTTTACCAGAAAAGAAATCTTTTCACAAACATATTAAATAAAGCTAGTTCACCTATTTTAGCATTTCACAATATTAGTACTGGACATGCTGATGCAAACCATCTTGTGTTTAAAAGAAAATTAAAGAAACTGATAATTCATCTTAACATGCTTAAAGCATCCAAATCCAGATATTTCTACACAATGCAAGAATATTCCAAACTGAGTGAATGAGTAAGAGGAAGACAGTCCTGGCCAGCTTAGGTCAACTGAACCATGCTCCTGGTCTGAAACAATCCAGCCTTCAAAATTCATGCTAGTCTGTGAGCTCCAGACTACTAAATTGTGCTGAGGACAAGCCAAAATCCAATGATGGTAGTCCTCAATGACTATTAGCACTTGAGGGCTATTACTCTGACCTGTTCTCAATTTTGCTACAAATTGGAACTGAATAAAAATGACAGTAGTATATATATATGATAAACATGTTGGTATCATTAAACCAGGACCAGCTACAAACTCAAAGACTAGTGAAGTAAGGTGCCCACTAGTCCTCTTGACTAGTCTTCTGAAAAAGATAGAATTCCCAGAGCTCCAGATAAGCTTTTGGTGTTGTGGGTATTTTACCCATGCATTTTAAAATCATTGGGTATCAGTAATTCTATCTGCGTATTCAAATTTCTGTTACCCCCTAGTTTTTACACATGTGGGTATTTAAGTTAAATATTTAAAAACAATATTCATCTAGTCCCTGCAAACTAGTGTCGTGTGGGTTTGAGAGCTTTATAGGACTCAAAAATACCACGATACTTCCACACGAAAGTGTGATGGCAAATGATCGTGATGTAACTGTCATCGTGGAGTTTGGCAAGGTTGACGGAATGCCTGTTTATAATTTCAAAATATGTTGCTGATTTGCTAATCGAATACGCAGGGTTACTTCACAATATTTTGATGATACGCACAAATTTTATTTTTGTAGCGTATCTGTAATGTTCGTTGCGTATTTGATACGCTTGGGTTATATTTTACTGCATATTTCTCCATTTCTGATGCGTATTTCACGCAGATACGCAGCTAATCTGGAGCTCTGATTCCTAAGGTTTCCATCTTTTGTTTGTTTGTTGTTTAACACTGCGCTCAGCAATATTTCAGCTAAATGATGGCAGCCTGTAAGTCAAATCTGGGCCAGAATATTCAGAGATAGGCATGAGCATCGGTCAACAATATTTGGACAGAGTTCCATATAAGCCGCGTATCTGCGTAAAATAACATCAGAAATCCAGAAATATGCAGTAAAATAAAATACAAGCGTATCAAATACGCAACGAACATTACAGATATGCTACAAAAATAAGACTTGTGCATATCATCAAAATATTGTGAAGTAACCCTGCGTATTCGATTAACAAATCAGCAACTTACTTTGAAATTATAAACGGGCATTCCGTCAACATTGCCAAACTCCACGATGACAGTTACATCACGATCATTTGCCATCACACTTTCTTGTGGAAGTATCGTGGTATTTTTGAGTCCTATAAAGCTCTCGAACCCACACGACACCAGTTTGCAGGGACTAGATGAATAGTGTTTTTAAATATTTAACTTAAATACCCACATGTGTAAAAACTAGTGGGTAACAGAAATTTGAATACCCAGATAGAATTACTGATACCCAATGATTTTAAAATGCATGGGTAAAATACCCACAACACCAAAATCTTATCCAGTTAGGGTGGCCTCTTGCCGATGTGGCAATTCAATGTCCCATAATTCTGTGTAGAAATTCAGTTTGGCCTGTTTTTACATTTTTTCCCCCTTTTTGTTATCAATTAAGTATTAACTTGCATGAAGAAAGACACAAATAGTAACATACATTCATAATGTTTGTTTTAATGTACTTTTGGAAAACAATTAACAGTAATCTTGACTTAGAAAGGGAAAATGTTAAAAAAATGATGCAAAACAGTATGTTAATTTCAATTGGCAACTGCAAACTTCATGTGATGAATTTTGTAATAAAACTTATATCATTAGAATTGCAAATGCTTAAGGAATACTATAACGCACTGTAACGCGATGATTTTCGCCAACTTCCTGTGTAACGCGGTGGCGAAAAAATATCAAAAGCAGGAGAAATGTGTTGGAATTGGTGGACAAGCCATTCACGTGCGTTCAAGGGAGATAACCGAGTGCGGCTTATTTACCATCAGCTGCCAAGAAGGAGAAGCGGCAATAAAATATACACCTCTAAGTACAGGTTATCTGGAGCTCTGTTGGGATATTGACACGTCATCACCCAAGTCAAACGATGGGTGAGGGTGAGGGGATACAGTAATTGCAACTATCCCATTGCAGTACAAGAATGACAGACATACTGGAGACTTTCGCTACCCCTAAAACTTCCAAGAGATGCATCCAATATCTCTACCCAACACCACCCAATACTGACCTCACTTTCAGCGTCGGAGATGTCGCTGTCCTCACTGTCCGACATTTCTCAAAATTGCAATCAAAACTGAAAATAGATAATTTCTATGTTCACAATTGAAACCTATTCACCATGTTCACAGATTCAACCCAGCATTAAACCAAGTTCAAAGGAAACATGTGTTAGACCTAATGGTTAGTGATTGTTGTTAGATGGTTGATAATTTTAATAAAATATGCAGGGTTAGAAAAAAATTCTTAAACCCAACTTGTCCTGCTGGGCAAGTAGATATTATATTGTACTCATCCTGCACTATTTTCACTTGTCCTAATAATTTTAAAACAGTTTATGTACTCAGTTATTATTACCATTTGCAGTAATTAACCTTTGAGTTGAGGATATTTACGTCAGACAGTACAAAATAATTCACTGTCACCTACATTCATCTCCGCCCATTAAAGTCACACAGCAGTGAAAACTCTTGTTTTGTTTTTTTCTACTTCATTTTTTATCTGTTTGGTAATCAAATCATGTTTTTCTTGTTAACCTTACCACTGCCAATTAAAAACAGAGATCACACTCACAAAACCATTCACTTTTGACATTTGTGAATCAGCAACGAGTCACTTACCATGCTTACAACTGCAAAAAATAAACATAACTGCCTAACTTTAAAAGAGTTTCACTTTCTGTTTATTTCTTCAACAGACAGTAGTTCTTTATTTTAGGTTTGAAATTATCCTGAAGTGATATGACAAGTAAATGTACTCGCCCAGTAGGACAAGTGTTTCTTCACTTTTTTCTCGTCCTGCACATGCTGCCACTCGTCAATACAAACAGATGAGTGGATTTTTCAAGCCCTGGGATAAGGAATATATTTGTTTCCTTTTTCTTTTCAATGAAATATTTCACTTGTCCCTTCTGACTAACAGTGATCAGTTTTGACCAGATAAAGGGTTGCTACGACCGAATCGTCTGGTTTGGCACTGGTCCATTTTATCCCATATCCACGCTGACATCTTGAATATGCTTACTGTTTTATGTATGTGGTTCAGTGCAGTTTGTAGAATTAAGCAAATATCCTGGGCATACTATTTGTGCTAGAATTAGCATGTTTGCAGTCCATGGAGGCTGGCCAACAGAGCAAAAATACAGAGAGTTAGTGGGTTCAACTTTGAACAGTATTTCAGTTATATCATGGTATGTCAGCTTGATGGTTGGAAAGCCTGAAGTGACACAAACCTAAGATGTTTACTAGGGCTGCAACAAATACACCATGAGGCGAATACGATTTGTATCACGAATATAGGGAAACGAATACGAATATTAATTCACGAATACAATTACAAGTCAGCAGTTGATGTATTATTATACATAAATTATTTGACATGGTTTGTAAATCATTGATATATTAAACATTAATATACTGCGCTTATCCAGGTTCAAGTATCTGCTCAAATGCGACAATGACCAGTGACCACAATACTGTCAAATTAAATATTATAAGAGTGTTGTTTTTGAAGAAATCTATGCAATTAATATGTTTTAATAAACTTTTATGGATATTTTTAGGTACAGGGTATGTAAATGCACATGATTGCATATTCATAAATATTCGATTCTAGTGGCTACGAATAACGAATTCAATTCATGAATGAATACGGTTCGATTCACCGAATACACGAGTGAATTGTAACAGCCCTAATGTTTACCACTTTGGTGAAAACCATGAACACCGGCAGAGCTCCAGATAAGCTTTTGGTGTTGTGGGTATTTTACCCATGCATTTTAAAATCATTGGGTATCAGTAATTCTATCTGGGTATTCAAATTTCTGTTACCCACTAGTTTTTACACATGTGGGTATTAAGTTAAATATTTAAAAACACTATTCCTCTAGTCCCTGCAAACTGGTATCGTGTGGATTTGAGAGCTTTATAGGACTCAAAAATACCACGATACTTCCACAAGAAAGCGTGATGGCAAATGATCATGATGTAACTGTCATCGTGGAGTTTGGCACGGTTGACGGAATGCCCGTTTATAATTTAAAAATAAGTTGCTGATTTGCTAATCGAATACGCAGGGTTACTCCACAATATTTCGATGATACGTACAAGTTTTATTTTTGTAGCATATCTGTAATGTTCGTTGCATATTTGATACGCTTGGATTATATTTTACTGTGTATTTCTGCATTTCTGATGCGTATTTCACGCAGATACGCAGCTTATCTGGAGCTCTGACCGGTATGGTGGCAAACATATATGCAGTTGGTAGAACTAGTATGCCTGTTGATACTAATGATAGTACCATGTGAACCGCAATGGATGTAAACATGAGCTAATTCACACCCAAATCAATATGCAGAGAATGAAGCTATGAAATATTGTCTTGGTTTGTTAGTACCCAGTCAATACATCAAATCTCGGGAAATATCCCGTCAGGTCGGGAAATATTAACACCAGCAGTCGCAGTATGCTTTCAGTAAACTGGATAATGACAAGTAGTCGGTTTACCATTTCTGAAGAAACAGATACATTAGTCGCGTTTCAAGATAAGGTTGGGAGAGTATGATTTCTGGAAGACATATTGATCTAGTTTCATTTCTCTTCTTCGGAGACAGTTCGAAAAAAGACATGACAATCATTGTTCATAAACAGATGTTTACGTACTTCAAATAAACGAGTAACAGTGCTATTAGTTGCCTTAGTGATATATATTCAATTGGTCGAACATCTTGCATCCATTCTAGCAGGTACACGTGTTCAATAATAAAGAGGTATTCCCATATTTACCTCCAAAAGTTGCTGAAGTCACAAAATGCTTCTTGTTCACAGATGGCGCTCACAGATCCGCTTCCGGTTACGAGGTTGTCTCCCTCTAGTTACATGAAGACGTATTGTGGTAGAGCACCTATCCAATGTACATGACTTTGCATATCGCTCATCTCAATCCATACTGAACCGCAAAAGAAACGTCACTTCACGAAAATAATTCATGTTTCCCATTGAAATATCAATGCATTTTTCGGAAGGACCTCGTTTTTCACAATTGATGTTGACGGGCAAACAGTGACACAAATGTGAATATGGATATAATGGATCACCAAAACGCAGGACCATGGTTCAAAGTTCCGAAAACTTTCCCTGAAAAGCAAAATTCACTTGCGTTTCCAAGCAGTGTCCTGAATGTAAAAAAAAAGTCCGGGGGTCCGGGGGTCCAATCCCATTCACCCTTGGGGGTTACATGCAAGAATATAGGTCTCCAGCAACTTAGCTAGTCGTAAGAGGGGACTTGATAGATCGGGTGGTCAGGCTCGTTGACTTGGTTGATGCACGTCATCGTATCCCAATTGTGTAGATCAATGGGAATCGATGGTGTCAATCACTGGTTTGTCTGATCCGGACTCGATTATTTTCAGACCGACGTCATGCATCTGGTGAGGTAAGGTGAAATTGGGTTTAACGTCGCGTCCAAGATTATTGCACTTATATAGCGACATGCATGCACGTGTGTGTGTGTGGCTGCTTGGACTAGACCGGACTGATGCCGATTTATAGTGCTAGCCCACTGAGATACCATGCCGCAGTTTAACATGAATACCCCACTCAGACACAGTATACTGACTCCGAGCCGACCAGTCCTTGTTTTAGCCCCTTAATGCCGAGCGCCGGACAGGGTAACAACAAATACCATCTTTTAACGTCTTTTTGGTATGAACCCCGGACCTTCCGCTCTCCGGGCGGACGCTCTACCACTAGACCACGGAGGCGGTCCCCATGCATCTGGAATAATGCTAAGTGCGGCGTTGAACAACAAACAAACACAAGCTGGAAACCTTAGTTGAAATAATTGTAGAAACCACATTTTCCAAGGGAAAATTCATGTGTATCGAGTGCGGTGAGGTGAAATGGGCTTTTAACGCAGCGTTCAACATTATTGCACTTATATAACGACACGCATGCGTGTGTGTGGCCGGACTGCTGCCGATTTTATAGTGCTGGCCCACTGAGAAACCATGCCACATGAATACTTAGAGACAGCATACTGACTCCGAGCCGACCATGCAGTTTTAACCTCTTATGCCGAGCGCCAGGCAGGGTAACATGCAGTACCACCTTTAAGCACCATTGGGATGAAACCACCGACCTTCCGCTCTCCCCAGAGGCGGTCGCAGAAGTATTTAACTTGAAATTACCAAGAAGGTACACATGCAAACCTGACCCGTGAAACTCAGGGGTAGAAGAGGTCTTCAGCAACCTATGCTTGCCGTAAAAGGCGACTAACGGGATCGGGTGGTCAGGCTCGCTGACTTGGTTAATGCATGTCATCCATCTCAATTGCGTTGATCGATGCTCATGATGTCAATGACTGAGTTGTCTGATTCAGACTCGGATTATTTACAGACCGCGTATTATTTACAAACCGCGTCATATAGTTGGAATATTGCTGAGTGCGGCGTTAAACAACAAACAAAAACAAACAAACATGCAAACCTGTAGTCCTAACTCCTGCTATTTCCTACATGGTGATAGAGAATATCTTTCCACGCGACCAGTAACAGTCTGCCATTGCAATCTTCGTCTGCATGCCATGGGTTAATGAGAGGTTCAGGTGTGGGCAGTGGTGAGTGACAATATCATTAAACCCAGGCACATCTTTACGCACGGGTATCGTAAAGGTCTGATTTTAATGAGATTGCGGTGAGATCTATTAAGTGTCTTTGGTGGTAATTTATACAGAAATAAAGATTTTTTTCGAAATAAAAAGGGGGGGTTGCGGGGATGCCCCCCCCCCCCCCCCCTTTTTATTTCGAAAAAAATCTTTATTTCTTCTGTACCCCCCTTCTGTATCCGCCCCTGGAGTTAGTAAAGTGTAGGACAAAACACGTCAGAGGATTATTATGAGATTTAAAACCCGAATCCAAGAGATAAAACCGAGGATTTAAATCTCATAAAAAACCGAGGGGAAGTGTTTTATCTAACTTAGAAACCGAAAAAAGAAACTTAAAACAACATCTATCATACATACTTTCCATGAACCTTAAGAAGCGGGGATAAAATATCTGTTGCTGGCGTACTGGTACTTGGAAAAGACATTCTTAAAAGCATAGTGATTTATCACAACGGTACACTCACTAGGCTACAGATACGAAGATTGCATGTTCGATTCGTGGGAATATAAAGAAAACATTCGATATTACGTTACATTATATTGTGTTCAAATGCAAAATAAATTTCTTGCGAGAAACATTCACATGTTACAATATAACGGAAGTTTTATTAATAAAATCCCCGGGATATTATAACACCCCTGTTTATGACATTACCCCCACTTTAGGTTTATGACAGGATTATGGCATCTTTGTGGGTCGGAAGTAAAAAGTGACACAGATCGACTTGAGACTTTTACCATTTTGGTGGGAACCGACAAGCACGTGGGTGAAAGAAGCATGAATAATCTTGGGAGAATCTGGTATTTGACCCATGACATGCGTATTTATGCGTCTTGGAACACTGCCTTCTGTGGGAACAGTGATGTTGAAGAATGTACCAAACATGTATTTAATCGATATACATACACAATCAGCATGGGCTTGTCTTTAGCAAACCATTCACGTGTGCAGACCTCAAGACACTCTACGGCTGCTTTCGCTGGGAGAAATGTGATTCTTTTCTAGTTGTTGTGGGATCACGCAGATACATCACATTTAAACTTCCAACAGTGCAGTCCAGTTGCATCTGGAATGAACCATTTTGAACCCACATTCACTGTTACTTGACATGTATTGCACGGGAGTGGGCTTAACCACTGGTTGCGTTGAGGCGTTCCTCCATCAGTACAATCTTACACCTTTTGCCACCATCTGTCTCTTTGTAGCCAGATCTGAACCCATTCAGACTCTCTTTACAACCAGATCTCCTGAACTCATTTTAGTTCCTTCTCGCATACATGTCCTGAACACATTCAGTCTCTTCACACACCTAAATCTGAACTTATTCAGCCAGATCTCCTGAAATCTTTTCAGTCTCATTACAGTTACACCCAGATCTCCTGATATCTTTACATTCTTGCAAGAGCTATTTCAGTCACTTTACATCCACACAAAATAATTTAACCTGTTTTTGCAATCTTATCTCAGCTTGTTGCAATCCCTTCACAGAAAGATCTCCTGGGTATTTCTTACTTGCATCATGATGACATCCAGAGCCCATTTCACTCTCTGTACAACTCTGGATGCTTTACATTCTCTTTAGAAAGCCATCTCCTGGAAGTAACTTCTTGTTAAAGGGATTTTTATGTTTCTTTTGAAACAAAAAAAACTTAATTGCAAGTGCAAACTGTATGATGTGTTGTTGGGTCACGATGGCAGATCTCTACAAGCTTTACTCATGGAGTCAGATGCTGAAGCCATTTCACACATTGTCCCTATGTAGGGAATCAAACCCAGGCCATCAGAGTGATGAGCCAACGCCTAACCAACAGGCTACCTCTTCGTCCGGTTTTTGTTTGTTGTTTACCGCAGCACTCAGCAATATTCCAGCTATATGACGGCAGTCTGTAAATAATCGAGTCTGGACCAGACAATCCAGTGATTGACATCATGAGCATCGATCCACGCAGTTGGGATATGACATGCATCAACCAAGGCAGCGAGCCTGACCACCTGATCCCGTTAGTTGCCTCTTACAGCAAGCATGGGTTGCTGAAGACCTATTCTACCCAGGATCTTCAGGGTTCCGGTTCAATGAAGAAACAAGAAGACAGTCAGTGATAGAGAAATCTACATTTATTGTAGTAGAACATGGTAAAATGCCCACATTACAAAGAAACATTTTGTAGTTCAAGATAGCACCATATGATGTTTAGCTGACAAACACTACTAGTACTACAAGTAAGACATGGATTTAGCTCACAAACAGTTCCATGGCGCAGCGCCTCTGATCTGCAACAATACTTGATGTGCTATATATATATATATAAGATTTACACACTGAAGTACAGACACCCTACAGTGTAAAAAGTGTACATATTTAATTCTGTGAATTCTAGTATTATATATTTATGCAGGGTAACAATTCCAATTTCATTTTCTTCAAATGAAAGAAAAATATTCAACTTAACAATATCTTATGTGTATATACAACGTTTGTCTTGATTGTATTTGACCATAAAAGTAGTATTATAAAAATGGTTTCAATGATACACTTGAAAATAAACAACTCCTTGCACAACAGATGAATACGCACATGTAATATTCATAAACAAATATCTTTATGCTTAAAACCTCCTTACCTATCACAACAAAGTTCATATTATAGCTGTTTCTGTAGGCAGGGCCTGTTGCACAAAGCGATCTTAGTGCTACGGTTGTCGTAAGTCTATGTTAAAGTATGAGTTGCGATTGTCTTAGCGCAAGATCGCATTGTGGAACTGGCCCAGGTGTAGCCACAGTTTCTTGCAGAAGATGTACACTCATTCCTTCGTCCTTATAGCCCTATCGGAGCATAAGCTTGATATGATGTCCTCGACGAGCACTCTCTGTTCAACCAATCACATCCATACCACAAATGCTCTGTTGCCCAATAAAATACCCCAGCTTAAATTGCATGATACCCTCTTGACGTTTCCAGTACAAACAAATACGTAACACAAATGTGCTACTATGTAACATCTCAATCAATATTACATTCAGAGTGAGTGAGTGAGTTTGGTTTAACGCCGCTTTTAACAGTATTCCAGTTATATCGCGGTGTGTCAGCTTAGTGTGGGAGGAAAGCCAGAAGTGATGCAGGTCCCCGACGTTTACCACTTCGGTGAAACCCACGAGCACGGGTATGGTGCTGACAAACCTAGAAACATAATCGGG